TCTGCTTTCAGTCATACAGATGGAGGTCCGCTTGGACAAAATTCATGAGAGAGATCTCACATCATCTTACAAGAAGAGCATGGCTGAGTGGAGAGCTTTTATTGGCCAATAAAACCAGTGGTCAGATGTGGACTGTAGGATAGTGCTTCCTCTCTCCCTACAAGGCTACTACAGTCCACATTCATTGCTTTTGATTCTTGGTTGGAATTTAGCCCCGTGTTAATAAGGGGGCACAGGACAATGTCAACCAACATGCCGATATCCACCGTTATATCAAACTGATAAAAATATAGTGCTGTTAATTCTGTGATTAAATGCACAATGTTAATGCCATGTCTTTACAGATTGAAACTGCATATCTTGTTTAGTTTGAACAATGCAATCCAGTTGTGCCTATTTTTTAAGTTCATTTCAAGTTTTAAGTTAATGTTGAGATTTAGCAACAGTCTGTTGCTAAATCCATTATCGTGCATGCTTAATAGTAATAATAATACAATGGTCATTGGAGTATCGGGGACAAGTTGGTCACATGTTCATGGTAATTGAAACCTTTTAATTTGAATGTTACAATAATAAGCACTTAATATTAAGAATGGATGTCAGAGGCTGAGCAGTTTGTGTGCCTAGTAGTTTGTCTTGAGGGGCTCATGGGTCAGATGTTTGGATCCGACCTTAACTACTCGCTCACATATTTGGACTGTTCTGCTATGTTTACATATTGCAGTTCCATACACACAATGAGCCAAAATGTTTATAAAAAGAAAATATCTTTCTTTATGTAGTCCTCAGTTTATGGGACTTTTTGCTGTATAAACACAAAATAAATGTGTTGGATTAATGCAAAACTAGTTTTCATTTTTTCTGTTTTGTAAGAAGTATTTGAATGTCTTGAATCTAGAACAGTATTACTATTGTAGAGCTTACAATAAGGTAGATACACTTGAAATGATTACGGGTTGGAAAATTATGGCAAAAAAAGCAATGCCTAATACTAGTAAGCAATGCTAACTTCAAGACATTTTGTCTCAAAATGCCAATTTCTAATCTTATTTCAAGTCGGTTGTGGATTTAAATCTAGAACAGTGTCACTATTATAGAACTAAAAATGAGTTTAATAGACTTCAAACGAAGAGGACAACATGCTACTTTTGAGAGGAAAAATTCAAATTTTGAGCATTCTAAGTTTATTATGAGACACAAAACTTCACAATACTAGAAAAATATGGCTAAGAATGAGTTTTCTCAGCTATTTTCAAGATCTCTCTTGTAAAGCTTAAATCTAATGTCTTATTTCAAGATATCTTATCAAGTGAATTTTCACTTGTTCCATTGGCAGATTTTTTTGCTTATTACAAGCAAAAAATATCTAACTATTCAAAAGTACACTCAGTTTACTGCACATTGCACATATTGAACAAGTTTACTTTTTCTTTGAATTTTATTTTATTTTATTTACCATTTTGTACCTTTTGCACAATTTAGAATTTATTACTGTCAATATTATTTATTTTATTTTTACCTCATTTTATTTGATCTATTTTTACCTTATTTTACCGTATTTTGGTTGTATTGCACCGCGGGACAGAGACAAACGCAATTTCGATTCCACTGTATGTCTGGCATATTTTGAAATTCACAATAAAGTTGACTTTGACTTTGATCATATCTATGTAATTTGAAAAAGGTCAGACAAAGTATATAAGAGTTACAGCCACTTCCTGTTTGATGGCGATGTGATTTGTGGACTTCCTGTTGAGTTTTGGGCTTTGAAATATTGTAGGGGGCGCCACATTAAGCCACACCCACTCACTGAAACAGTATAAGATGTTTGACTTTACTACCAGGATTATATGTATAGAGTTTCAGGACAGTACGATTATGTTATGCCCGTGAAAAAACCCTTTGACAAAATACCGTGCAGCGCACAACGCAATATGTTGAGACTGTCTAGAACGCACTGAAACTGAGTTTGCGCTGATCGGATCAGCGATTTTGGGCCATTATTGTGAAATTCAACTTTAATTTTCTGACTTCCTGTTGGGTTTTTTGAAAGGCTGCAAGTGGATTTTTAGTCCGTCCTGACCAGCTTAATATGCGTACCAATTTTCGTGAGTGTACGTGAAAAAACTCTTTATGGGGAGGCCATTTTGAAAATTTGAAGGGGGCACCACTGAGCCATTTTGCAAAATTTGTTTACGAAACCACCAAAATATCACATTTTTCGCGAGACCTGATGACTGTGGAAAGTTTGCTGAGTTTTTTTCAGGCACATTCAGGCCCTCAAAAGTGGCCGCAAAGTGGCCGCAAAGTGGCGGAACAATAAAAACAAGAATAAAAATAATAATCGCTAGGGTTTCAAGAGGGTCCTCGCACGGTTCGTGCTCGGGGTCTAACAATGTTACCATATTTGTTTTACTATATAAACATATTCAACAAGTTTAGATACGTCTCAGAGCTCCCCGAAACATGTCTGAATATGATCTATAAACCCCTCTATTTCAGCCCTGCTCAGAACAGGCTGTTTCTGTGTCTGTAGCTTTAAATGCAAATGACCTGTGTCTGACCACGCCCCCTATCTGGAAGGTGATGTGGAACAAGCTTTCTCGCTCCATGTCCTATCATTTACTTTGGAAAGGCAGATTCAGATGGCAGAACAAACACCTAGCTGTGGGAGTGTCACCCACCCGGGGGAGGGGTTAATGCCCTTTGTGATGTCATGAAGGGAAAATCTCCAAATGGACTGTTTAAGCACACAGTACCCTTTACCATGTTTTATTTTTTGCATAAAATGTGACCTTTAAATTTTGATAATTCAATTACATTTGCTTCTCTTCAACTCATTTATAAAGGTTTAAATCATCAGGCTCCTCCGGGGCTCGGTGACCTCGTGGTTCCACTTAGATAGTCAGGCTCTGTAACACATGGAGCATCTAATGGAGTCTATGAGGTGCCGTTTTTTCATCCCCACTTGGACAAACAGATTTTTCTGTTCAGGGGTTCAACATGTGGATCACTTGACCTGCATATCTCAGTTGGAGGAGGTGGAGGAGACCTGGATGGACCTGAGACTCTGGTGGTTGGAGGACAGGGAGTGGCTGCTCTTCCTGGAGGAGTGATGGTGGAGGGGGAAGGCCAGAGACTTGGTCTGACCCTTTAAATGTCCCGAAGATGAGGAGGACTGGAAGATCACAGCGTCAGTGTTCAGACCGACATCCTGATGGGAGAGAGAGGAGAGAGAGAGCTGAGTTAAAGAGCCTGATTTAACAGGAATTGTTTCTTTTTAGCAAGGAGATGTTTACGGATCGACATTTCTTAAACCTCATCACAGATCTTGAACATCATCCGCTCATTTACATATTTAAAGGTACAGACACAGGAACAGCCTGGTGTGAGCAGGGCTGAAATAGAGGGGTTTATAGACATGATCAAATACAGGATGAGAGTGTACAGTGTACAACAAGAAACTTAACACACATGTTTTGGGGAGCTCTGAAGAGGAGGATAATATGTGTATAAGAGTGTTTAAGTTCAAGTGATGCAGATGCTACAGCATTCACACTAACAATAAAGATTTGGATAACAATAGTGTGAATGCTGTTACAGCATTCCCACTAATAAAGATTCACACTATTGTTATCCAAATCTTTATTATTATTATTATTATTAGTGTGAATGCTGTTACGGTTATCCAAATCTTAAGTGGGAATGCTGTAACAGCATTCACACTATTGTTATCCAAATCTTTATTATTATTATTAGTGTGAATGCTGTAACAGCCTCTTACGCTTAAGAGTCTTAATATTATCTGTTCTATCCCGGGTTAAGACCACATAACAGCTGCTGCTCCACTTGGACACTTTGCCTACATCATCATATCCTCCACAGACAGAAGGAGGGGAACAGTCTGCTCGGGCTTGCAGAGGCGATCCTGTGAACGTGAGAGGAAATGTTCATTTACACAGACAGTGGCAGACGTGTCTACTCTTCTGTTTGTGTAGGTCGACTAATCTCTCAGGAGGGCTAGTGAAAGTGATGTGAAGACACCATTAATCACGATGACAGAGAGGTTATGTGCTCGGATTTATCAGTGTTTCTCTTGTAAAGTCCTTATTTCAACACTGACAACTTAGAAAATTCATTTCACAATACAACCTGATGTTCATACAGCTGTGACATTACCCTCTCAACGGTATTGAAGGAACTGCTTTAGATAAGGAAAATATTACTGCGTAGTTTTGTGATTATTAACGGAAACTAACAAAATACTGAAACACTAAATAATCAAAAACATCTCTGCAAACTTAAATGAAAACAAAATGCTTTACAAACACAAAGACAACTGAAACTGTATTGTGTCTAATAAATTACATAGAATTGAATAAAGTTATAGAGATAATGTGTTAAGTTTATGTCATTGCCACTATATTTAATACATATTCAGAGTATTTAGGGTGGTTGTGACCTCACTCGTCTGTGTTTGTAATGAGTCCTCGTCTTGCATCTGGGTGGCAAAAGTCAATTTGAATACATTTTTAAAAACCGCTGAGGTTTTTAGTTTTTATTACCTATTACTTTTTCTGTTAGTTTTGGTTCTCGCCCCTTGCAAGTGTCCCATATAACAACAAAACATAAACTAACACTATAACACTAAGTAGGTGTCTGGCAATGAGAATTAATTCAAATTGAACTGAAATTGAAAACAAAACAACAAAATAATGAAATCAGCTGAAGTATGTTTACCTTGATCGCCACACTTGTACACATGGTGTGTATTAAAGACGTCTGCTTCCATGTGGCTTTAATAAAGAAAAAATCCAACAATGGACTAACTCTGATGGGATCAAATGGGATTTAGCAGCTATTACATTTCTGTTTAAACACTAAAAGAGTTATGTGTTGGTTATTTAAAGAGAAATAAAAACTCTGTTCAATGATCTTTCCCATAAGAATCCAGCAAAACATGCAGCACACAGACAAAAATTAAAAAGTCAAACTCAAACTTCTCATTGTACAATAAACCTTTAATAAATAGTTTGTCATTAGTTTCCCATATTTACATAATAACCACCATTTACTTATGTTGCCATACTCATTTCTTGGCTAATTTTAGGCACACAGAGAGGGGGGTTCAGGCCACAAACCACATCGTACTAAAAACAGAAGTGGCTAGCAGGTAAGTCTTGAGAAATATTGAATAATAATCGCACCATACAACCGATTAGATCAAGAAGTGGCCGTCTCCTCGAGCAGTACATATATACATTTGCTGTATGTACAGGTGATCTGTGTACATTTACAGTCTTGGAAGTTGTACGAGTGCACATGGGGCTGGTGCAGAATCTTTCCAATTTGAGAATGACTTGAATTTTTGGCTTAACCAATAAGTTGGTCCAATAACAACAAAAATATATTTATATGATATTCAGAGAGTAAATCAACAAACAAAAAAAATGGCCTCCTGTATAGTAAATCCCCCTTCAAAAATAAAACTCTGACAGGTTTAGTCAAAAAGTGGAGGGTATAGTGTGGTCAACATTTACAGCTTGGAACATTCAGTCACTGTTGTCATGATGTACTGAAGAATCTGGGAAAATCTGCTTCTCAAATGTAACCAACCCGGTGAAATGTTTGTTATATAATGAAGACCGAGGTGAAAAAAAAAAGAAGAAAAAACAGACAGATGGGACATTCAATAACCTAACAATGTAGCCACAATGTTGAATAGATTACTAAAAATGATTGGATGAAGTTTAAAAAAAAAAAGAAAAAGCTATAAAAAATAGCATTAAAACTTAAATCTTCAGCCAAAGAATTAAGACAAGAGAAGAACAAAACAAAACAATAAAAAAAAAAAAAAAAAATCCCTCAAGTACGCAGGCACACATACACACAAAGTATGAAAAAGCAAAATCAACATTTGGCACAAATTATACGACGCACATAATTCCTACGATAGGTGTTAATTAGCATGAAACCAACTTTAAGCTACTTCTCCCTACCGGCTCGTGTTTCGTCTTTTTTTAAATGCACTTGAGGCATTTATGAACTGACTGTTAAAACTCGACCAGGCTCAGATGATGCGAACGAAAGGGAACTCTGTGTCACTGACGCAAAGGACCTGAAATAAAACTGCTTCAACCGATCTTATCCATTTACAGCGCTGTAGCGGTTTTAACGCCTGCAGTTCATGTCCAACCAGCGCCATCTACAGGCAAGACCAACCACAAACGCTGCAACTCTGCAAATGTACAGTTCTTCTTGATAATGTGCATATTAAGGTCTTCCATTTCTTTTTTTTCTCCAATGTGTCACATCTAAAGATTAATTCTGGGACGACTCAGTCCACAAGGGTCTCACTGATTGATTAAAACTGTATTTCTTATTAAAGATGTAATATTGAAAGGAGGGTAGCAAGGACGTAAACTGAAACTCGTTGTATAGTAAACTTGATGATGCCATATTTCACTTCACTGCAGCTTTTTTGTAGCCCAATTTCCCAGCCTTTTTCCCCCCACGTCTTGCCTGTAGGGGGTGATAGACAAGAATTCTTCCTCATTTAGAAGAAGAATACTATTGTGGCGCACGTTGGCATGCATAGACCTGGGTGAACTACACCCGTCTGAGAAGAAGACTGCTAAAGGTGAGAATTAAGTTAGCTTAGATTTGTATGTATGTAATCTTATAAACTTTAAGGATTTTGTGAAACCATTTCATAGTTCGTATTAAATTATCACCATAGAACTCTTTATCCAACATATTATATAATATATTTAACCTTTGAATTAACTACTGCAGCAGCATGAGAGAGAACCTAATGATATCCATTCAAAGAGTCTGTATCGAGTGTCGAGACCTGACCTGCTGATAACAATGCTCGAGCTATAAATAATTGTCCGGAGGCTTGTAGAAAAAAAATCCATGGTTCTGTGAGCCTTAACCTTGATGGTGATAAAATGTCAAGAAAACAAAGCGACAGGAAGGGCATGAAAACAAAGGGAATTCAATGTGTGTAAGAGCTCCGATGGGAGCAATAGCGTAAGATTACAGAGCCTTCTCAGACCATGGTCTTCATACAGGTTACGTAATTAATATATATACATTTTTATATATATATATATTAAGTCACTTCGAGGCAACGTTTGTTTCTTGAATAAGAACTTGAAGCACAACTAGCCTTCAGTTTGAACAGAGAAAAATATACAACCCAAACTGTACTACTTATCTAGAGAATGGCAAGTAAACATTGAAAAAACGCGTTCTGCTAATAAAGTGGTCTCTCTGCACACTTCTCTCTGCGAGAAGTGTGAACAAAATGTGATCACACAAAAAGCTTCCTATATCTGGTTGACCCGTCCTAACTTTTGATTAGGCAGCGCCTCTTTAATATCGGTCTCCCTCACAGGTCTACAAGTTTGCTTTGCTTCGTCGCCGAGCACATGGGGGAAGAACTGTGTTCCCTTCTCCGAGCTGTCGCAGCAGCAGCAATATGCATCCTGACGATTATTAGCTTGTGAGAGACCATTAAAGAGGTGTGCAACTAACGGTTTGTTACACTCCCATTGGACAAACAGGCTAAGTTGCCACTTTACTGGCTACAGAGGAATATGAAGAATCACACTGGGATTTAGTAACATCTGAGATACACCCCACTCACACTCCAAATCAAAATCACTGTTGTTCTTTTTTAACACCAGGTGGGGGTAAAGCTGTGGCACACTCCACTCTGTTACCGCTTTATGGAAACCAAAGATTGGAGTCCTGCTCAGCCAAGCCACACACACCTTTCCACTGCAGCCCCAAAACACTCAAAACGCCCTCTTCACACAGGGTCTTCAGAGTCCCCACAATACCCTGCTTTTTTTTCCTTTTTTTTTTTTGAAAGGGCTGTTTAAGTGGGAGTGGCCACGTTTTGTGCTGTGGACACAAACACCTCTTCATGGCATTGAAGTCTGATGTTTGCCTGAGGCAATAGTGTGTCCAAAATGTGTGTATCTGTCTATGTGTGCAGGAGGTTGGAGCAAAGGTGTCTGCCCCCCTTAACTGAGGTTATACACTGCTGTCTTCCAGAAGCGGCTCCTTGCCCTCCGCCCCGCTTCCTTGAGGGCTGTGGGAGTGACTCTGCGCCCCGTTGCTGTGCTTCTTATAGGCCCCGGGCCGCATGCCAGGCCCCGTGTGCTCCGGGATAAACAGTGCCACCAGCAGAGAGAGCAACACTGAGCATGCTCCAAACAGGAAGGGAGGACCTGGGATGATGGAACTCTGAAGAAAAGATAGTAGAAATGATTTGTTAGAGAACAGCAACCGTACATGGAACTACTGATTTGATTGTATAGATGATTTTGTTTATAGATTCAGTTTTGCAAACCTCATCAGTGGGGTTGGCCATGTTGGGTTTGGCACCTTTGTCAGAGCCGTCAGTGTCCGTCAGCTCCACGTGGAACAGGTAAAACACAAAACCGTAAAGAGCAGGGCCCAACCCGTTACACAGGCCCCGGATCCCAGTGATCATCCCCTGGACAACACCTGAAAGCAGACAGAGAAAGAGAACACATGAGGAAAATATCCATCAGACGCTTCATTTCTGTGACCAAGAATAATGAGAACAACAGGTAGTTTCAAGCTAATTAAAAAGTGAAATTTTCTTTTCTTTAAAAAAAAAAAAAAAAATCAAAATATCGCTCCTCAGCACCACCAATTAGAAAATGATATCACACATATTCAGTATAATCACCAGTGCATTTTTATAAGCCTTATACTTGCAAGCGCATACACACTCTATGCACCGTGAAGCAGTCACAGTACATAAACGTCACTCTCTCTCCTATTGGCTTGAGTTGAATTCTCTGGAGAATATCCTGCTGCGTTCTCACATCAGCGTACTCGGACTTGCAGCGGAAAGAATACTAGGGGGCCTGGCAGGAGAAACTCTGGCTGTTTGCGTTCAAACGTACAGCTCTTCCTGAAAATATCAGGAGTTTTTCTGCAAGTGTGAAAGCCCTAATAGTCAACTGAATATTCAACTGACAAGTGGGACCAGTATTTGTATTCATTTCCCCTTTGTTGAGTGTACCAGAGTGCACTGATTAAGGCAACAAGCTCTAAAATCAACAAACTAGTTAATGTACTGCATTCTTTCTTATCCACAAGACAAAATGAGAGTCTCGCAAAAATAATCGTCAAAAGAAGCAAAGAGTTTATCTCTAAACTTACCTTGTTGGTCAGGGTCTGCGTTACGGGACACAATGGCACTGATAGCAGGGAAAGTGATGCTAGACATGGCTGCAACAGCTCCAGCAGCCCACATCATCCTGCAAACAACAACGCTCATTAGTCAAAGATACAAAACACTATTAACCTTCATTAAGCCGGCTCGATTACCTACATTAAATAACTTGATGTCATCAAACTGCAGCTAAACAACAAGCTGCTGTAACGTATTTAAAGTCCAAAATGTCAAGCTCATTTAGAAGAATACAGCCAATATTATATATATATATTTATATTTACAAAACATTGTAAATGATGAGTTGTTTATGTCCATGATGAGTTTTCGGAGCTGTCCCTGTCCTTAAAGGTAGAGAAGCTTGGTGCAATGGACGCTGTCTTTATTTATCTTTGGTCTGAGATCATGAAAAAAAAGGGACCTTGATGTAATGCAGCCAACTTGACCTTTATCTAACTTAATTCTCAGGTATTGATCACAGCGAGAGAGGAGCACCGAGCAGACGTGTTGTGAATGTTTTCTTAAGAATCAATAGATATTATAGTCCCTCTGCCTCCGGGCCAAAACAACAAGAGAGACAGGAGGAAGTGTTTTTTCACCTCGAGGGAAATTAAACTCAGAGGGTGACCCCACCTTTTTTTTTGGATATCATCTTTTGTCATATTTTCAGGTTTCAACTGAGTGACACTAAGTATCATTAATCATGATCAGACACTCAAAAGTTTTTCAAAGAGAATTTTTTTTAATTTTATTTTTTTTAAAGGTAGTAAATCTGAAGCTGAAATTTAAAATGCAGCAAAACATCTGCTGGTTTTTATAACTGCACACTAAAATCCATTCAAGCATTTACATCAGTCAAACAATCATTTAGGTTACAAAACGATATTGATGCCTTTGATGAAGTTAGTTATCCCACAGCAGCGTCACCAACAAGCTGGAGGCAGTGATATTGATTAAGGCTATGCTGCCCTCTGATGGTTGGCCAGGGCATTACAACAACGGTGGACCATAACATATAACTCACTAAAAATTAAAAGAGTGCATGGATGGACGGGGATTTAGCCATGACCACATAGGGTTTTATGTAATTTACATTTTTTATATTCTTTCTAAAGAGTTGTGTTAGTATCAGCCTGTGCTTAAGGTTCTTTGAAACCAAAATAAAGTGAAAGGAAACATTCTCGCATATTTTGAACTTCACAAACCTCTGTCATAGGTGGTAAAACATTAATCTTGAAAGGTTGTATAAAGAAAAGTATAAATATGCTGTATCTTTTCATGCCCAAGTTAAACATTTGCCATTTCACTGAGGTTATACGAGCCACAATGATCTAATTCACAGGCATATGACAATGTTTCTCACACTGCTGCAGGAAATGCTTAGTCATGCAAGACAAACTTCCGTCTGACACTGAATTATATTTACTTTGAGATTACATGTCCCTGCATCACTGATATCTATTTGTGAAGCTTCATCATTTTAACATTAGCTGAACAGGTGGTGCCATCAGGTGCATGGGAGGTTTGAATTCTTCCATCAAGAATCAAAAAAGTGGGACTAAAAACCCCTTTTCTTAATCTGGTGTGTGTTTGTGTGTGTGTACGTGTGTTTGTGTGAAACCAGGTGTGGATGTTACTAACCAGGGCTGGGAGCCGAAGCCGTACCACGCCAGCTGGAGGATCTGGAAGCCGAGGCCGAGCAGGATTGTGTTCTTATTCCCTATTGAGCGCATCAGGATCCCCAGAACCACCGTCTGTTCAAACACAGTACAGAGGTCATACAAGAGAACGGAAAATAAATGAGAAGATGTTTGTTTGTTTGTCTTTTCAAATTCTTCATGAGCAGGGACTCTGACTGTGCTAACTTATATGCAACACTATTTTGAACTGGAAACAATGATTTATTATTGTGATTAAACCTAACAACTTTAGTTTTGAGCAGCATGAAGACCCTAAGCATATCTCTCTTTTTTACTTTTGAGGCTAGTAGTAGGAATAGCAGAGTAACCTGCAATTTCCACTTGGACCATTTCCCTCAGCGTCACCGTTTTGCTCTGTCCTACAGTGCCCGCCCTACCCTACTGGGATCGTTCCTGGAGCACGAGCGTAGCAGAGCGCAGCCATGAGCAGCTGTATACACGCCGCACTCACGGGTTCACAAGATTTAGATTTAAGATTTCAAGAAGGAATAAAAAGAAAAACCTCCAAACAACATGTTGCTTTGTCTTTCTGAGGTTGATTTGCAGTGAAATTCTTTTTCCACCACTATCTGACATTATTCCGAAGTCTCTCGCTGTCGACTTCTTGTTTGTGACCTTACCCTCATTCATGTCATCAGCGCCACCGTGAGGAGTCATGAAGTGATGACGTGGTGAGTCAAATCTGTTTATGGTGCTGTTTTTCTTGTCTCTAATTCATATATGTTACAATACAATATTCAGCACCAGGATTTAAAAAATTGCATCACACGGGTCAATATAAAGTTATGATGTTGCATCAATATTTTTTTACACCCTACTGCGCACACACTCAAAGAAACAAAACAATTCTAACAGAGATTTGTCCTCTAAAGCTCCTCCTGATTTTTGTACCCTTTCTTTTCCCTGTTAAATGTTCTGTTCCCATTTAAAGTGTGGCTTTGAAAGCTTTCTGAGGTACACAAACGATTTCAAATGAACAACTTGGGCTTTGGGAAATCAAAGGGTTATCTTTGAAGCCTCTATATAACATGTCATTTTACAGCATATGTGTGAGTGTGTGTTCTTTTAAGTACCTGAGCTAATATTGAGAGGATCCCCACCACAGCGATAAAGGCAGCCACTGTCTCTGATGAAAAACGTATGACCTGAGGGTGAGAGAGCATTAAGATAACACAGGTTAAGACAAGACCAGACGAGCAGAGACAACCATGTTCCCCAAACACAAAGTCTTCACCCAGTTGAACACAAAGAAAGAAGGGGGTTCATTTGTAGCCTTTTATAGAAAGATGATGTTTACTGCAGGATCTTGGAACAACAATAAGTGCTTTTCCTTTCCCCCCCTTGTTATTCTCTGGTGTATTCAGTTCAGATGTACAGCAGGAGTAGGGCAGCTGGTGCAAGGTGCATGTAATTTATGACAATGAATGTGGAGAGAGATATAGGATACCGCAACGTCAGCAGAAAGGTGTGTAGAGTAATGTTAGCTCCTACGCTCCAGAAATACTCTCCAGTCTTTTTTCAACGACGACAGGAGGGGAGCAGGACACTGTGCGTTTGTGTGACAAACTCGCCAGACTGGTTCTTCTAACACTGTTTACCCAAACTGTGCAGTCCTCTCTTTAAGCAGCTCGGATGAGGAGATCACACCTTGTCAGGCTTTATCTCCTGAGCCATAGCTGTCACCTTAACGATTAAGTGTCATGAGTGTTCATTTTCTTCCTACTTGTGTTTTAAAATGCATTTGGCATTTTGCTGAGACTCAGTTTAAAAAGCTGCTCAGCACACATGCCGATCCCATCTCTGAGCCGTGGAGATGAGAATGTTTGGCTAGTTTACACAAGTTTCCCAGTATTGAGATAATTATCCGAGTCCCCTTAGAATTTCAGTCTCTCTTTGGCCCCACAAATGATATAATAGAATACAAAAATCACAACTTGTATCGTCCTTAATAAATCAATTTCACCAAAAAAGGGCAATGTCACTGACTAGATCTACAGTGAAAAGGGCTGTTGGTGTTTAGTGTGGATAGTAGGTACCACTACATGTGGTCATAAATATGCATTTTTACGTGTATGATGCAGTCATATTAGTGGCCTTTGTGTATAAACGTGCAGGCAGGGAGAGCGGTGTGTTACCTGTCTGAGATAGAGGAAGAAACTGGAGTACTGTCCGGCCTCTGGGAGGTAGGAGAGAAACACTGTAATACAGATGAGGAGCACTGTGGAGTCCTGACCCACCTTACGCAGAGACTGACAAACAGAAGAGGAAGACAACATTGAGCTTGTTTAACATTTGAATCATTTGGGAAAGTTCACAAAACAAGTTAAACTTCTAGCTATAAACAGTAGGAATATTTCACCTGTTGATGATGTCATGTAAGCAGATTGAAGCTTTGATTTGAAAATACTTAAAGCTGCAGTAGGCAACACTTGCTTTATTAGAATCTGGTATAAGTGACGATTCTGTCATTAAATATCACGAACATCATTAAAGTGAAACATCGTCTGATGTCTGACCTGTGAGTCCCCAACACTACGAATTTCTTCATTTATTTTTAAATCACCAGAGCTGAATTAGACAACCAATCACTTTTGGCTGACACATAACTAGCCAATCTCACCAGGCTCTATTTGAACGTTCATCATCAAGCTTCTATGTTACTTATGTCTGCGGCTCACTCTCTCACTCTCTCTCCTTCTCCTCGCCCAGGAGGTTCTGGGAACACAACGAATGTGCGCCACAAAGCAGCTGCTACTTTTTGAACCTTTTTACAGGATCCAGATTGATCAGCTGTCAGCGTTTTCCGCCCTCTTGAGTCGGACAGATATAGCCAAGTGGAATAGACAGTTTGCAGTGACAACGGTTAGAGTGCATCATTTGGTAGGCGGGGCTTAGCAGCGTAATATTACATATCACAAACACGTATATATATATATATATATATATATATATATATATTCACATTTTCTGCTTGTTGTTCGTCATTGTTACAGTATGTCTGTTTATTCTCGTTACACATTATTTTCTGTATCTATTTAATGTGTTGTTTTTTTATATGGCGACATTTTAAGTTAATTTAGGTGTAAGCTTCAAACAAGCTCTTCAAGTTTTCTGCTTCTTCCAGCACTCTATATTGTCTTTTTGTTATTTCTATAAATAATTTCTGGACAGGTTTATTTTTCAGGCCTGTCTTAAAAAAATATTTAAATATCTTTTAAAAAAAAGTACTGAAGCGCCCATATGTGTGTAAAAGCATTTTTGATTGCTGTTATAATTTCCCCTCCTAATCGTACTGGTCATTCACATATGTTTATTTTTTTCAAACATGTCTTCAATCCAGCAGACGGAGAACTAAGTTACTAAGTCTGCCAAAGTTTTAGATTTGAATCAGCCTGCTGGCCACTACCGTTAAACGTTTTGGCACAACAACTCTGTTACTAAATATAAAATGATTTTTTGATGGTTGGTATAAACAGAGATTAAGTTAACAGAATGTTTTCACTTTCAATGCAGACTTGTTTCGCTGCTGTGCAGTAAAAGTGCACAGGACACCATGAAAACACTCTGGGTGTGGCAACCGAATGAAAACAAAACGTCTGACCACACCCAAACCTTTAAGACTATAAGTAATGCTTGATGTTATCAGGGATGAAATATGGGCGCAAACATTTAATGAGAACGATTTTAACGGTCTCCATTGCAGATATGCAAATGTTAGAAAAAAGGAGGGAACATATCTGATCATATCTACATTCACACACATTCTCAGACTATCATCCAAAAGCTACAACAATGCTCTCTTTCTAAAAATGTTCCATTATAAATAATGAAATCTTGTAAAGGATCAGTGTGGTGCTGTGCAGTCTGAGGTGATGTTTCAAATCAAGAAAAGTCTTGAGATTTTTCTGAAAAATCAAAAATATAGTAGAAAAATGTGAAACTATCAACTGGCAGTTTGAAAACAAACCTCAGGATGATACTGGGTTACACTTGGCTGAAAAATAAATGATGTGTTGTCTTGTCACTCACAGCGAAGGGGTCTGCCTGCTCCCATGAGATGGGCGCTCCCCATGACGCTGGCCTCATCTTCTCTGGCAGGGACTCCGGTACGGCCACCAGAATGAAGCAGATGTCGAGCAGGGCGATGGCTGTGGCCAGGATCACCACCAAGGTGTCACCGTAAGTCACAGACAGGTACGCTCCAATGGCCGGACTGGTGACCAGGCTGGCTGCAAAGGTAGCTGATACCTGGAGGAGAGGAGAAGAGTACATGAGTGATCGGTCCGTTCATGCAGTTATCTGTTTTTTAAAGTGATACAGGCTTCTCTATCAAAAGCCTCCCTGATTACATCATCATTCTGGAGGACTTTGTTCTAGTCGACCATCTGCTTACCAAACCGTATGCTGTGCTCCTCTCATGCTCCTGCGTGATATCTGCCACATAGGCAAAGATCACAGAGAAGGTAACGGCAAAGACGCCCGACATGGAGATGACCGCAAAGTACCACCTGAAAGAAAAAAAAAAAAAGAGTTTGGCTTAACCCTAACAACTCAAGCTACATCATACGATTCTGAGGTTTATAATTGTGTTCACTGTTTCTTTTAGGGTATAATTCTATTCTTTTGTGTTTTGTTTAATTATTTTATACAGTCCGTACCTTTACTGAACTACATTTATAGTATGATTAGGCTATTTCATTGGACTACTGTCCTAATCCCACGATACAAGCACGAGGGGACAATCGGTTAAGTGACAGAATTACAGATGGTAGGTGGTAACATGCCCTCTTTCAGCTAGTTACAACTGGTCGACCGTGCTAACAAGTTAGCAACCGGCGGACTGGTTGTATGTCGAACGGTGTAAAACATGGAGAACTTTAAATTTCTGTACATTTCATACATACTCTACACTTCATAGACTTCTGCTATGTGATGCATTTATCCTGTTTGACCTCACATACAAAGCCAGGTGCAGAGTTAATCAATACCCAACCACATTTCCTGGGTGTGTTAGTCCCACTTCCAGAAATTCAAGTCATTAAATTTTTGACATGTTTACATGAATCATAAAAGGCATTAGATGGACTTTTTCTAACGGCCTGTAAACATACTCAGTGTTTGAGCCAGCAGAGGACAAGACTTCACAAAAAGACTGAACAGCTGCTGTGTGTGTTTTCCACTCACCATGGGCTGATCTTCATCAGAGGAATGGGTGCACACGTGAAGAAGACCGTTAGCAGCAAGAAGGACTTGCGTCCCCATACGTCTGAGAGAGCTCCGATCAGCGGAGCACTCAGAAATGATAATAGGCCCTGGAAAAGATGGAGGATGAAACGGATGATTAACATAGATAGACGGATAGATAGATAGATACTTTATTGATCCCCTGGGAAATTCAAAGCATCCAGTCGCAGTTTAAAAAGACAAACACAATATAAAACATTTAGATGTGGGATGAAGGATGAATCAGATCCTAAAGTGTGTAAGTGGTTTGTTTGATCGAGTTAACATATTCACATGTACTAAACTCTGGCAGCACAGAAAGATTTTATCACGGCTGGGTTGAAAGATTGTGATGTACAAACCATTTATTTGATGCATGGTTTTACTTGAATGTCTAACAAAGGTAAAAAAGCATACCAGCCACACATGGAAAACTACATTTACATTTGAAATTCAGCTTGTCCTCGAAAGCCAAACTGACCTCATGAGGACTGTTATCTTAAAAACTATTTGTTTACAATTATTTCCCACTGTTTCCACTATTCTTCTGCTCGCACATTCAATGGATATAGATGTAGTACATTTTTACCTAGAGTCTGAGAAAAAAACAAGATAGCACCCATGGCCTGCTGGTGTGCGGTGCTTGTTCAAAATTCAATAACAAGTGGAGATACTCAAACAAATTCATCGCCCTTCAACACAGATGATTTATACAGTTTTTATGTTAACGTCATTTGTGTTATTACAACAGTTCTGTTTAGAGTTTCATGCTTTTAACCGATAATAATTCAACACTATAACAGCCATTATAGAAGATCTAGAATAATAACAAGCAGTCGCTCCATCTATTTTAGAAACACTTTCGTCAGGGTCAAAAGGGCTGTCGAGGTGCACTTCAACATGACGGTGCTTCTGTGAGTTATTCTGTGGCCACCTGGACGACTGGCTATATTTACTGGACAGCTTGCAGGTGTTAGCATGTCATTGTTTAAGAGTCGGGCAGTGTGAACAAGAGCACACACGCTCAGCAAAAACTAAATCCACAAACAAAAGTGAGTCAAAGTTGCAGTGCTGAAGAAGAACGTTAGTTTAAGTGTCGCACTAAAAAGCCAAAACAACACGGCTGCCGGCATGTTTACCTCAGCGGCTTTATGGGATGAGTCAAACAAATACATTGAATATGTCATTTATCCAGTACCAAGGACACAAACTGCAGGGTTACACATACAAACTCCTCCACGCACAAAGTTGTTTCCACAATAAATCACATATTAGAGTGGTACATTTCAAACATACAGATACTGCTTTCTATTGAGACACACTGTTAATAAAACACTAGAGATAACCTGTCAACAATCAGGCCCCACTGTTTTGCCGCTTTGCATGTGTGACTGTTATATTGCCCTCCATAGAAATAAAATATGGCGCTCATTTATTCTGTTTGTATGTTCTGATGTCTTACCTTGACGCCATGGATGAGCCCATTCATCAGGAATGTGTGTTGGGGGAATGTCTGGTGTAATACCTGGAGAACAAACACAGATAGCACCAGATGAAACCACATTATTCACAAAGTCAGCATCACATCTCAAACAATCACCGACAGTTGTTGATGCACTCTGCAGAGTTAAGAGTTCAGCCAGAGAGCAAAGCAAGTGTGACGCCATTTAGACTAATAATCTACACCATCAGTGCCAAATGATGCGATGAAGAAATAAAGAAAATAAACCATAAATTCAATCATTGGAGTCTATGGAAGAAGATTCGACACATGTTCAATGTAAGACAATTGTATATTTATATATACATCTACGGTACATGAAAAACATAGAACAAAAGAAAGCCAGGTGTACTGATGAGCCATTTTATAAACATCAAGAAAAAGATTGATAGAATGTGCAATAGTTTCCCTGGTCAAAACATTAAGTATGAAGTAGAGTCAGACCGATTAATCAGCAAGCCGATAATATCAGCCGATTTTAGCATATCCATCCAGTGACTATCAGTATCGGCTACTTTTATCTCAGATATGCGCTGATATAACTACGTTTATTCACCAGTCAATAGCATTTAATTTGAGTTTCATTGTATTACACTAGAAGAACTTTTTCACCAGCAGAGAGCGTTTACTGGATAACAACGAAAATCATCACTCTCCAGAGTGTCAAGCGGTGATGCATGTACATGTACATTGCATTTGAGGGATTAACACGTGTATATCTATATCTTTATTTATATCTGCAGATCGAAGATAACGGCCAAAATATCGGTATCGGACACAAAAAACATCATATCGGTCAGGCCCTAGTGTGTAGCAGGACTACTTAGTTAAAAAGCTGGTGCATGGTGAACTTCATTTTGTGGAAATCTGGGGCCAGTAGCAAAATGTTAAAATTGTTAAGTTGATCAAAAGGAACAAAAACAATCTGAAAAGTTTGCCTAAAGGGCAAAAGGCATTTCAGCTTCCCACAGTCGTATATAATTACAAACATGGCGAGTAGAAACCAAAATGTGAAGCTATGTGAGCCATAATGATACTCATCAGAGCTGTGTATCAGGCGTATCCAGTGTTTAGTATAACTGTCAACATGGTGGGGGGAGCACGGTCTACTTTGTCCACATCGAGCGTGCACTGACACGGTAATGGTGCAGGCTCACTGTAATGCATTTAATGCAGACTGCCATGTAAGGACAAAACGAATACACCCAGCGTAATACAAGCCTTTATAATGGAGCGCACTATGCAGTACCACCAACATGTTACACAACAACAGGAACAGTATGAAGTGCTACATCAAAAATGCAAATAAAGTCATCAAAAATCTAGTAAGGAAGCATCTACAGGTTTTAATGTGAAGTGAAATAAAACATTTCATTGTGAGACCTTTATTTCAGCTTCATCACCCAGCCCTAAAAGAGAATCATTAAACTGGCTCCTTCTAATCTGTAACTAGTCAAATCAACTGTTTGGACAACCTCCTTATATGGATACTCAGGGTCAAATTCAAGTTTGACATTTTAGAGTCCTGTTATCACTTCTGACATGTTACAAGGGGGGGTGAAGAAGACAAAAGATGGTGTTGACATATACCCCCCCCCTTTTTTTTTTTTTTAAAGGTTTCAAGTAACCTATACTATCAAAAGTTTTGATATCATTGTTGATCCGAGTCGTTATTTATAGCACTATCAATCCTTTTCTATTTGTTGGTGGAAAGATGAGGCAAAAAACTAAATGATATATTTAACAGAACTGGTCATATTTTATATTACAGAGAACACAAACAAATGTCTCCTCTAAACAACTAGAGACTGTAGAGAGTGGGTAGAGTCAGAAAAAAGAGTGGGGAATGACATACGGGAAAGGAACCAAAGGTCAGATTTGAACCCAGGCTGTCCGCTTCGAGGACTACAGCCTCCGTACATTGAGCGAGTGAACTAACCACTATGCCACTGGTGTGCCCAGACAACTGTATTGATTCAAATGTCTAACCAAAATTTGAAATTTCTTGAACAGAAATTGAATTGAACACATCATGATGACATCGTTTTAACCTTCACCTAATAGTCATCTTCCTGATCCTCAAACACATCATTTAATAGTAATAATAATGCATTTTATTTATAAGCGCTTTTAAAAACTCAAAGACACTTTACAATGGTTAAAACATAAAGAATAGCACAGAAGGACAGACTAACGGATGGGGTCGAGAGTACTGGTGGAGGACTTCATGCTAGAGGTGATGATGGATAGTTCATTTGGGAAAACAGGGGAAAACTGAGACAGAGGTTGGGTGATGAGGCGAGAGGATGCGGGTAGGGGTGAAGAGGGGACAGTGGGAGTGTTGAAGCTTCAATTTTTGATTGAAAGAATGAAAGAAAAGCGTTGCATTTATCAGCTGTGAAGGAGGGAGAGGTGTTGTCACTGGGTTTGAGGAGTTTGTTTATTGTAGAGAAGAGAGCCTTGGGGTTGGATGAGCCTGAGTGGATGAGGGGTGAGTAATAGGTGGACCGGGTTACGCTGAGAGCTTCCATGTATTGTTTGAGGTAGTCAGAGTATGATTGGAAGTGAACTGTTAAACCGGTTTTCTTGTGGAGTCTTTCAAGCTGGCGTAACTTACGGGTTTTCATTTTATGGAGTTCGGGAGTGTACCAGGGTGCAGAGTGTGTGAATGAGACAGTTTTAGTTTTGATGGGAGCCAGTTGATCCAGACAGAAGGAGAGTGTGTTGTTATAGTAGGTGATGAGTTCAGAGGAGTTATTAAATTGGGGGGGAGGGGAGGAAGAGATTTTTCTGGTAATAGAGGCTGAGAGAGCTGAGGGGTCGACTGATTTTATGTTTCTGAAGGAGATCTTTCTTTTTTGTTTTGGAGTGGGAAGAGGGATGAGAATGTCCATGTTTATAGCCAGATGGTCGGAGATGTTGAGGTTGAGACTTGACAGTTGATGGGTTGTGAGACCAGTGGAGCAGACCAAGTCCAGAATGTGGCCGCGGCTGTGAGTGGGGAAGTTGACATGCTGTGTGAAGTTGAGGCAGTGAAGAAGGTCCAGGAATTCTTGGGCAGTTTTACATTGAGTGTCGTCGACGTGGAAGTTAAAATCCCCAAGGAGCAGAACAGAAGTTGAGATGGAGCAGAGTTGGGTCAGAAAGTCATGAAAATCACTGAAAAAAGAAGGGTTTGGTTTTTTTTTGGGGGGGGGGGGGCGATAGATTACAGCAGTGACTAGGGGAGTGGGACCAAAGAGTTTGAAAGCAATGTGTTCAAATGAGTCAAATGCAGGGATGGGAATGGTGGTAGTTTTAATGTCCTTCCTGTAAACGGCTGCAACACCACCACCCCGTCCATCGGGGCGGGGTTTGTCCATGTATGTGTGTCCTGTGGGTGTGGTTTGGTTTAGTGAGAAATAGTCCAAGGGTTTTTGCCAGGTTTCGGTGAGACATAGGAAGTCCAGGTTGGTGTCGGTTATAAAGTCATGGAGAATGAGGCTTTTATTGTTGAGGGAGCGAGTATTCAGCAAGGCCAGTTTCAGGTTATGATGAGGTGTTATACGGAGTGAAGGGTGAGAGAGTGGCTGACAGGGGATGGTTGACAAATTTGAAAAATAGACAGATTTAGTGATTTTGTTTTTATTTGGATGCCTTCTTGTAATGAGTTTCTATTGCAGACAATGTCAGTGAATGTGGGAACGAGGGATGAGGCCAGTGGGGAGAACTGGGAGGATGGAGGAGCAGACCTTTGGACGGTAGGGTGGGCTGGTGGGGGAAACAGTTGGGTGTGCTGGAACCATAGAGGAAGATTGGGAATTGGCTGTATTGATGTCGCCATTTAGTCAGTTGCATGGCGTGTACTGTACTGTGTGTTGGATGTTTGTAGTGAGGAGGTGTGAGCCAGCTTTGTTTGGGTGAAGTCCGTCAGCTTTAAAAAGAGAGTAGTAGTAGTAGTCAATGAAGACCACATCGTGAGCCCTGCAGGTGGACTGCAGCCAGTGGTGGAGGTAGAGGGTTCTGCTGAAACGAGCGGCGTTGGACAGAGGCGCAGTGGGTCCGGAGATGAAAATGGATTTACCAGTTTGTATTAAGAGCTTGAAAAGTTGGTTGAAGTGCTCTTTGGTCAGTTCAGACAGTTGTCGAGAAGTGTCGTTTGTGCCCACATGAATGATAAGGCGAATGATGGTGGTGGGAAGAGAGAGCAGAGTCTTCCGGAGCCTTTCTAAAATGACGGGGACAGTAGCACCAGGGAGGCAGAGAGTGGTGGCATTGAAAAACCGTACATTCTTTATTATGGAGTCGCCGATTATCAGAGTCGTAGGTGAGAAAAGTGGACGAGGGGGTGAAGCCTGAGTGCCGACAGTGCAAACCCGTGCGTGTCTGGTGACGTCAGGGCAGAGTGGACTCACCGGCTGAGGAGGCGCGGTCAGGGCAGGTGAACGTTCCGGTGAAGGGTTGTCCTACGGAGACAGCAGCAGGAGCGGCAACAGGTGAAGATGACGCCGCAGAGGATGGAGAGGAGAGTGGCAGAACAGGTGGAGAAGAGGCAGAGGTAGCATCGTCTTTTACAGGGGATGTGGCAGGAGCTGGGATGTTCGGGGAAAAGGAGGCAGCGGCAGCGACGGTTGCATCAGAGGCAGGCTTAGCAGACTCAGGTGTGCAGCTGACAGGATTGGTGGGGGCTCGGACAGACACCGAAGAGGTCCCATTAACCTCACCCAGATCATCGTCCTGCAGTGCCGAGTAATGATTTGTGAGGAGAAGCGGCGGGGGAGACCCAGATAGTCTCCCACTGCGTTTTCCACTGCTCACCAAAACCTCGGCCCAGGACTCCCGAGGGTTTGGGGGTCGAGCAGGAGGAGTGTCAGGGCCTTAAAGGATCCCACAGCAAGGTATCTGAGATATCGGAGTGCATAGCCGTGATCCTCTTAGACTGAGAGGCTGCCAAGTCGATGTAGCTGGAAAGCATCAGGTCCTTCTTCCGAAGCTCCTCGGAAAGCCTGCGGATATTCTCTTTAAGGTTGGTAACCTCTCCTCTAGTGCGTGAGAGTGTCAGGCAGCCTTTACAACAAACAGTGTCCATGTTGGGGAGGGGAGATGGGGGGAGATGTTAGCAGCCCTGCTAGCGAGTTGGATCCGACGCTAAAAACAATTAGCCGGTGCTAGCAGCCGTAGGCTACCGTTTGATTGTCACTAGTATGTTCAAAGTGTAACTTGTGTCAAAAGAAGACAAAAAGAACGCAGATTTGTCCGCGGTGGTCGCCTTTGGTCAAAACAAAAAACACTCAGTGATCAGGACATTTAGTGAGCTAACTAGCTTTCAACACAGAGTTCAACATTGGATTACTGATTTTAACTAACAGGACCTCATACAAGGTTTGGGTTGATTTTCCCACGACTGCTTTTAGTGAGGGAGGAGGAGGATGAAGAGGTGGAGGAGGAAGAGGATTTTTTTCTGCAACAGCAGCAGGCAGAGTTGGCAGACTTTTAACCCAAAGACAGGCTGCACTTTGGTTTAATCAGATTCACAATGCTGATGTGCTTGTTGGCTGACAATTCATTTTATTTGAAACTTAATGAGACATCAACGTATATTTCTGCAGCAGTGATATGATTTAAATGACCAGACTCTACTCCAGATATAACATTACGTTACAGGACTCAAGAGACTCGATAGCAGTATCAATAAGCTGATCCTTAAGGAGCCGGGTTTCTACCCTCATTCTTAGTTACAGATGAATTCAATACTCCAACTTGATTGGGTGATTTCTTTAACCTGTTAAAAACTCTGCAAGTCTGGCTGTTTAACAATGGTATAAACTGAAAGAATACATGTTCAACCTGAACAGAGCAGAAGGAAGCAGACTGTAGCCACAAACACTCAAGTGTTAAATTCAAATCTGACATTAAGGAACTGGTTCCATTTGGCATCCGGGAGTAGGGGAGGGAATCGCAGGGTAACTCATGAGAAGATATGATATGTCATGATACAGCGATTCTGTCAAATGTGACAATATGCAGGACAATCATATAATGATACAAAAGTGTCTGGTGAAGCAAATGGAAATCGGTAAAGGGCATCGTTTAAAAAAAAAATGGATAAATCAATATTTGATCATTACAACACAAGTCAGGATAAAGACGTATTGCTGTATTGATCTGTTGTCCCATCCATGTGGGGGAGTAAAATGATCTTTGTTGCCACAACTACAGCCGTAACACATCAGTGACATCCGTCAGATGGGTTTTGAATGACCAATCATCTTACTGAGACACTGCTCTGTTATCAAACGACATTTCAGAAAGGAAAGTTCTCAGCGAGTGCATCCTGTTTAATTTATTCAAGCCACTTTTTGGTGAATTTACATTTATTTGAATTTAAAAGTCAAACATAGAAGAGAGAAAGAGAGAGAGAGGGGGGATCGAGAAAGAAGAAAGAATGCAGAAACTGATTTACATTAAAAAAAAAAAAATCAGAAAAAAAAGTGTATCTTGATGAATGCTATATTTAAAAGATTTCAACCCGCCTCTCTCCAAAAAGAAAACAACCCATACAAATAGAGAATTCCTACAGTTTTTTAAATCCTGCTTTCTTTACTAATGCTGCCATGCATATAAAAAAAACCCATAGGAAAGTATTTCAGGATACTTAGGCAGACACTGTATTCCGTAAAGGCCTTATCTTTGTCCAAAAGGCTGATTCACATTTAAAATCGTTGGGATGTTCAGTTCAAAGTCTATAACGTCAGTGTGCAGACAGTACAGAGTGCAAGTGTCACTGACATGGAGCAGGAACATGGAGCCCGACAGAGACTGAACCACAGGATCTGGATATTGTTTACGGGTATCGTTAAGCTTATGGCATGGCTAAGAAGAATAGCCCCTCGTCCTCTGGGAATCAGTTACCCAACACGCACAGACTGTGAATGCTCAGAGAGGACTGTTGCTGCTGGATACTAATGAAGCAGTGCTCATTGGGAGCAGTGAAGCAGTCCCTCTCATCTTCAGGCGCCCTCTGATTAGTCCAAAATGCAAATCCTGTCTCCGCCCAGGGATCTTGACGGCAACACCCCCCCCCCCCCTCCATCCTCCCCCCAGTAATTAATGCTTCACAGTTACACATACAACCACCTCTTCAAACAAGACACTGCTGAGAAGCATACACTGCTTAAGCCTGTCTGGTTTCCACCATGTGGCTCACAGATGTTTGCTCGTCATTTGTTTGAGATACCAGTTCCATCAGACTGATATTCACACTGGTAGGAAAACATGTGTTTATCAAGATTAAATGGAGGGGAATACAACAAATACAGAACGTGGCTGAAAAAAGCCAGAAGTGGAAACTATTAATACACAATCCCTGCTGTTAAGTTCTAAAGCATCTTAATGAGTCATCTCAGCATCTTGCTAAAAAAATGTGATCTGTTTTCAAGGGAGAAGTTGTGTTTTCTTAGGTCTGATGCTATCACTTTGAAATGCCAAAAACTCAAATGATGTTCGAAGTTGTCTGAAGCAAATGCCAAAACCACCCTTTTCTGCCGTGCACTGAGGTGACTGTGTTGCGTTCCCCTGGCAGGCATCTGATGCTGTGGTCGACAACGCAAACCAGTGACCCCCCCCCCCCCATAAGCCGTTTACACAAAGAACTGGTGCGCAAACAATGCAACTGTTTGATTGCTCTTTTAGTTTAGTTTATCAGGGTCCCCTCCCCCCCATTAGCCGCGGCTTTTCATATTTCTCAGCCCTGTTAGCACTTGGCACAACATCTGCCAACACTTACAAAAAAAAAAAAAAAAAAAAAAGAACTGCGTCACACAGAACCTCGCTCATTTGATTAGGAATGAAATCAGCCTTGGACACTGGAGGGCCTTGTGTGGTTTCAGTCAATGGAAAAATGACACTCATTGGCTGGGTTTACACAGAAGAGAGGTGTGGGCGTTTGAATATATTACAAACCGTTATGTCTGTTTACATAACAGTGTTGTGTGTATCAGGGCTTACCGCGAGCATCGGGGTGGTAAGGAGACCCCATGCAAAGAACTCCAGGAAGATGACCACCACAGCATGGTAAACACTGGGCTCGCCGATTCCCTGAGGCTGCATGGAGAGAGAGAAACACAAAGAGATAATGATGTAAATAGCTGAGGAGCTACAAAGATTTGAACACGCATCAAAGTGCCTCTTAATGGTAACACATTAACAGATCGAAGTTGAAACGAGAATCTATTTTTAAAGGCATGTGTGTAATGACCCAGAGGCTCTACATCACCTGAGCCTGTGGGACAGTCCGCAGTAAGGTTATTTCTCTTACCCAACTGTGACACATTTATAACTTGCTAATACAGTGCTGAATGTAGAATGGTGTTCAATAAGACAACAATCAACTAATATAAATACATATTAATGACTTGTTTTTTATACTCCCTCCACATAAATATAGAAATCTACTCACAGGTCACACTCACTAGAGATAAACATAACAATGAGTAGATTTACATCCACACATCATTTGATTGCTGTAAATAAACAGAGGGAAATATTTGAGTAAGGCATTTGCATTATTCATCGTCACTCCCTTAGGGTTACTTTCCAAGATGGCTACTAGTAAAAATCTGTATCACTGACACAGATAGGAGGCATTTTTACTGAGAACTTGATCACTAAATATAACTATAAACTTTAATCTGATGGTGGTTGTTGGCCTCTTTTCCGCCGTTTTACTGCTTCATACTTTCTTTTCTACGACTCGTGATTTGTTGTGTTGCACCGTAGATAAAATCCCCCAAACAAAATGTGACTAATCTGCCTACATGCTGAGACTAATTTAAAAGCAGGCAAACACTGTGGCTCTATTAATCCAGTCATACTTACCCTAATTACAACATTTTGAAGAGGTGACAACAAGGTTAAGCTGTTTACATCATCTGTAGGATTACTTTAATTGCCCTTACTCTGATAACACATTACTTTTGTGGAGAGCAAGTAAAAGCCACAAGGTGTACCTTTTATACTCCAGTGTGAAAGTTATGCTTGTAACTCAAACAGAAACTGAACAGTTTAACTCAAACTCTGTCTCATAATGTGCTGGGTCACTCTTAATCCAAAAATACAAGCATAATGAAGAAAACACAAATAGATATTATTTAAATAAAAATACAACTGAAGCACAGTTAAATCTATACAAGAATGAATGAGGAGAGAAATGTGTTGACGTGAGCGTGGATGTGAAGCAGGTACTCTCTCAAATCAACGTGGTGCAACAAATCTGGAGAGTGAAATGTAGGCCAGCCAGAGCCACCTTAACAGAGTGCTAGTTCACACTCTGATGTGGATTGTCACTTCACTACATGGTGATGGTGAGAGCATCACATCACAGAAAACTTGTCGACAGATTTATATGCGACAGCAAATCTGTGGAAACATCCTCCCTTGTATGAGAAGTCAACGATCACACCACCTGCTTTGACGTAAAATGAGGAACTGTTTGTAACAGCCTCAGTCCCTATATGGATGTTGCAACTTCCTCTTTCTTGTATGAATGACCTGATACGTCTATATATATGGATTTCATATTTCGCTTTTACCAGAAGGGCATCTAAGCCTATTAGAGTCTCTGATTGGATGTTGAGAGGGAAGCCTTAATGGCTAAGTGGTTAGACCTCGCCACAGTAATTTAAGCAATACAAAAACAATTTTCTGAAATAAGAGCCTAATTGAAAAAAGAGCTGGATCACGTAAAGTGTATGAAATATTAAGAGACACAACTTAGTCATCGGGATCATTATAGGGGCAATACTGAGGAGAAGGATCAGTTTCTGGTTCCCTTACTTATTATTCCAAACCTTTGTGTCTTCATACATATCAGGCATGTTTAACATTGCTTCCCAAACAATGACATAACCAGCACCAGTGCCTCATTGTATTTATAACAATCCGAGCCTTCACTGTTTGCTTACAGCCTAATTAGGAGCCATCATCACTTCAACCATCGCAGGGATCCTAAACACCAGAATCCCTGATGTTTTAGTCAATTGAATTAGATTGTTGCATCCAGTAAAGGGCATATGAGGTACGATTTTCCGTGGAAAAAAATAGGACTTTTTTTCCCACGAATAATTCTGACAGTATTCTTAACAGCCATCATATATTTACCAACCACGATACACCTGGTGTCAGAGTAAATATCAGTCAAAGTTCACACTAAAATGTTGTGTTTGCTTATGTTAAACCAACCCTGTCATGCTCTTTTTAAATGATTTACCCATTCACACACCGCAAATTCTGCAAGTACTGATCTGCATCATTGCCTGACTAGTTGTCGTGCATTGTCAGATAAACATTTAGCCAGGTCACACGAAAGTAGCTTAAAGCAGAGTCACAATAACTCTAATTAAACACACATGCTAGTGAGCTAAACCTAGCCAGACTATTTGCTTCCTAGTGATGCTGCTCTGTCAAAACGATTTGAGTAACCGTGACACACCCTGAATGCAAAGAGTTGGTTTTATTTGACAGTGTGTGTGTGTGTGTGAGGTAATGACTCACAAAAGGCGAGTAAAACAGTAAAGAAAAACAAAAGCTAACGTTGACATTAGCCGGTGTTACGTCGTGAAATGCATCCCTTCAAAAAAGAATCGCTGGCACCTCGCGGAAGTGTTAGAAAACGGTATAAAACATATTTCTGGGGGCAGATCTGTTTTGACAAAATATGTGGAGTGCAAGCGTGATAAAAATTAAATGTAATTACATTGTAGACTCTGATAAAATTCAATGTAATTACACTGTAGACTCTGTTTTCGTAAAGTGTTTGACTCTGAGTAAATGTAAGGTTGTGTGTAAATTACGGCAGCACAGTGTTTATTAGGTTAAAAGCAAAATTCGGCACTTTACACGTTTTTTTTGTGTGCCATATTTTGCCTTTACCTGCGAGCACATGCAATTTTCAGCAGGTATACATTTCTCGACATAACACCGGCTGACGTGTTAACGACGGGGAGTCAGCGCAGGCCGCTTTGAGCTAAGCTAGCTGGTAGCTACATGAGCTAACCCAGCTAACGGTTTAACGTTATTCTCAAAACACCGGAGACAGAGAGACATAAACAAACACCGCTTCGACCGTCTTTATAAGCACACGTGTTATAACCTCGGTTGATTGGAGCCAGGCTACCTCAACCTGGAAAGCGAAGTGAACGTAAGATAAATAAATATTTAACTCACACTTCCTCCATCTTTTATTATAATTTTCTTTGCCAGAAGAATGCTGCGGTTCAGCCGCTTTTTCTTCTTTTTCTCCCCCGTCATTGTTAACTTATGTCCATCCTTGGTGTCAGAGGGTCATCGTTGCACCTGTCGAAAGTAAAATAATCTACTGATTCCTGTTTTCTACGCTCATAACACATCTGCTACAGACAGGAAGCTAGCAGCGGGCTACACTGATGATTTCTCTGTCTCTCCCCCCCCCCTCACTGCAACCCGTCTTCCCTGAACCACACATGTACCCGCCCCCTTCCAATACAACGCTGCTCAGCGATTGGCTGACTAATGGAACGGCAACTCCGGGCAGCGCCGTCTGATTGGTTAATAAGACCGCTTGTGCTCCTTGATTCTCACATGTTTGATTTGTGGACACACCGCGGGTTCGACGTACACAGCGGAAGTACCGGATAAGGAGAACGGCTGTGTTTACGGATAAAGTGTACACAATGTTCAGCTCACTTCATTAGACAAAAACGGTTCACCCGTAAAGAAAATTACAATACATTAATTAAGAAAATTTATATTTTGTTCTCCCCGAATAAAAAAAAAACCTCTATAAGGTTGATTAATATTTGTTGCGGTGTAAAATCCTGTACAGAATAGATAAACACCTTTTCTCTTAAGGGTTCATTTTCCCAATGAATACATGTTTTATTTAACTGGCATGCCTCTTTTAAATGTAATTAATTAAATAAAAGTGTTGCTAGCTAGATATTTATGATTATTTTTGCTTAATTTTGTCTCCTTATCTCAAACTTTGTCATTTCTTTTCTGATAATTGTCACTTCATCTCAGGATGATATTATCTTTACTTATCTTATATGCATGTGTGGAAGTAATGCATACAAAACCAACACAAATTCAACATCATGTTGCAGAAGAAATTTATACGAATTGTGAATCGATGCCACTATTATTATGAACCCCACTGTTTATTCATTTACATGCTTTAAATGTTGTGATTTAGTTGAATTGAAAAGAGCACAGATTCTACCAAACTGTATTCAGAGGCTGTTCCAAATTAAAGAAAGTCAGTGTGAACTACGGGTCACTGATGTCTTCAAAAAAATGAAAGTAAGGACAAACACAAAGCAGAACTGAGTCTCTGTCAAAGGGGTTAACCTGTGAAATAATTTTGACAAAAACTTAAAAAAAAATGTGTTCACTTAATACATTAAAACAAATGTTTTAAAAAATAGGTAGTGAAGAAATATAAAGATAATACATGAGGATAAGTATTTTTAAAATGATTGCCACATATTGTGCGTTGTTCTGATTCTTGCGAAATGTCTTGTGAAAAGCTGGAACTTTCGTAGTTGTTTCTCTTTCTATTGAATGACTCATTTTGTTTCATATTGAAGTTGAAGACTTGCCTAACAGAACATGAGCATAACAAGGGTTGCCTAACAGCAAAGGTGGGCATGATAAGCCAAAAGCCTCAGCCCCTCTTCGGCCAGTTCAAACCTTACATTTATTTATTTGTAACCTTAACCTGCTATAAATATATGAATTCTTGAAATAAATATGTTTTATTTTATTACAGCAAGAGGCATTGGACACTGTCAGTTTATTTTAGTTGAAGGTATTCAAACTTGGACAATGTTCACCTACATACGCATTATTCATACCCCATATAAAAGTACAGGCATGCACATCAAAAAAGAAAATCTACATGCATAGACAAAATTTTACTTGGTGAAACTGCACTGCTTTGCAATACCATATAAAAGTGACAAAGGAGAGTATTTTCAGTCGGTTTGGCAGCATTATGAGCATTCCCTTTACAGGTGTGTTGAATGAACGCTCAGTCACAGCAGTGATTTGTACCACAGGAAACAGAACAACAACACAAAACATTTCAAAGGTAAAAATAAAATGCACTCAATGAAGGCACATCATACAACGCTGCCCTCTGCGATGGAGGAGTTCTCATTTTATGGTACACTTACAACTTTTGTTTTTCCCCATAAAAAGGCCAAAACCTCCTCTGAGTACCACATTGGTTCAGGCCAGAATGAAGTCCTTCTGCAAAAGAGGTGCTTGTGTCCTCAATTGCTCCTCATCGTGTTGTCCTGTTTTTCTCAATAGATGAAACAAACTTGTCACACCGCTTCACATGACTGGTACAAAACACCTTCCCATTATAAACTGTGTACTGTACAATTCTGAAATGGATTAAAATCACATGTTTCCATAGTTTAATAAAGAAAAAGAAAAAAAAGGCAGAATAGTCCTTGATGTTGGGTCCGGATCTGCCATGAACGCCCTGAAGAGACGGTCTTTACAACCTCCCATTAAATACAAACACATTCTCAAAGCACTGTTTTTGTAGCAGCATTGGTAAATCTATAAAACAAAGTTTACACTTTCTTTTTTTGCCATACAATTTTTAACACATAATGAAAAAGTTTACAGCTTGTTGTTTCATGTTTAGGTTAGATCTTCATCGTCATCGATGTAAGGGATCTCTAGATCGTCAAAGCTCATATTGATAGTCCTGCTGGTGTCCTGCGGCCTGTCACTTGGTGAGGGATTGTCTTGGATAGGCAGGAAGCACGTGTGTCGGGTAACATCTGTTTTATTTTGTCCTGGTGTGAACTCTCTCTGGTTATCACCTGACAGAGCCATTAGACTTCTGACTCTCTGCGCCAGGTCAGGAGGTTTAGGTGGGCAGTCTGGTTTTTGGGTTTTAATTCTCATGGTCACTTTTCCTGGTAACAAAAAATGACAGATTATCAAATTCTGTGCTTCTTGTACGGCGCACTGTAAACCTCAAGTCCCTTTATAGGTTAGATAACGCAGCTTATTCATGAAGCAGTAAAAAAAACACTCAATGTTTAGTTATTGGTTAGACACATCTGATTATATCATCAACTATGTGGTGACTCCTCAGGCACTAAATTTGTTTAAAAAAAATCACTTGTTAAAGGATCAATCTGTAAAATATCTACTAATTTAGTCATAAAATGGCCTTACTATATCATCAGACATTAAGTGCTGACAACAACGCAGCATCTGGTATGTCCTCCTGCTCAGTTTAGATCCAGATCCTGAATGGTCTGGATTTGTTCTGATCAGGTAATTAGGCGGTTTAAAGGCAGCCCCACACGGCTGTTATGTAAATGCAGTGATGATGAGTGGGGCAAATGTGCAGATACAGTATTTATCATAAACATGTGAAAGCACACATTCCTGGTAGAATACTTTGTAATGTTTATGGCATATTTCAAATGTTTATCTCACAAGAATCACAATGTAGGATTAAATATTTGGGGCCATGATAACTTTCAAACCTCTGTCTCTGAGTGTTATAAAATGTTTAAAAGCAGGGCTGATAAGAGACTTTGACCTTTTGACTAAAAACGCTAGGTGCAGCACATTCGTCCAACCCAGAACATTTCATGCATACTGAGCCCTTCATTATAATGTTTCTGTCATGCATTAGATCTTATCTTTTTTCTACAGACAGCTGTGATTTGTTTGTATAATATATACCATGAACGATTGCAGGGAGACACGATGAAACAATAATTTTAGCCACAAACTGTCTCCTTTAACCCAGAGGAAGGTGAAGGTACCTTACCTCCCTACTGACCTTCCGAGTCCTGGCTGTCCAGTTGGCCTTCGAGGCTCTCTGTGCTCATCCACGATGACGAGTCCATGTTGTCGTTGTCAGAGTTGTCAGAGTTGTCAGAGTTGTCAGAGTTGTCAGAGTTGTCTTGCTCCAGGTCAGGTAACCTGCAAGCCAAGTCCACCCTGAAAACGGCAAAACAAGATCTTCTTTAAAGTCCCTGAAATTCATTGCACACAGTGAAGTTCACTCTAAAATACTCTCATCTCACTTTTCTTGCTTTATGGACTTGATCCTATCGATGAGGGTCCTCTCCGTCTCATCTGAAGGCATCGATTCTGGAGCGTCCACCTCTGACGACTTTTCAACAACCTGCACAGAAATCAAAGAAGTCATGGTGTAACCGACTTGATCAAGACACTGAATTTATTTGCAAAAATTAACAATTTCTTTGAATTTTAAACTGCCGTAAAACTTCAATTTACAGCCCAGGCTTTTATTTACTTCAGTCTATGAATGACCCTGCCTTTATTTAGGACAGGAGTCAATATCAGACAAGTCTACGATTATTTTCAAACCAAGCTCATGCACAGAAAAGATCGGAAAGACTATAAAATTAATAATTTACACCAGAATTTTTTTTTTTTTAAACTTTTTACATAATTGGGATATTGTTAATAAATTAAATAACACATTACTAGTTTGATTTTGATTTGTAAGACAGCTCATCTAAGCCAACCTGCTGCACTGCTTTTTCTACTTATTTTTGATTAAACCAAAAACTATTCAATCAATAAATGTACAGGGCCCTCTACCTGAGACCTTCCATTATTTGTCAAAACTTGCAGCAACACCAAGCTCGTGAAAGGGACTGGGCCTTAAATTTGGATGGGCTTTTACTTTAAGTTTTATGGTACTTTTGAAAGTTTTCCAAAGTTTAGCAGTTGAGTGAGTTTATTGCAAAATTCTTGATTTTTAATTATTTGTTGGAACTTTTCACTACAAATTAGATGCCAGCTTCTGACTCAAGCATTTAGTGGTCTTTGAAAAACATTTAGAGGTAAATGTGTGTAATGACACCAATATAAAGAAATATTCATTTTCTAATTTTCCTTTAATCAGACTTTATTTAGTCAACCTCCTGGCAGACATAGACATTTAAAACACTTCTGACTGTGAATTCAAAGTATCAGTGATGGTTCACTGTTTCTGTGGCACAGCTTGGGCTGTATTGATGCATTAAGCATCCCTGCAATATACAGCTGTACTGACAAACTATCAAACTGAATGATTGTAGGAAGCTGATTGACTGAATTTTTAGATCAAGGCACAGCCTTGTACATTTCTCTCACCGTGTTTTGTCTCCTCAGTTTGAGCTGATTGACAGCCAGCGCCTCAGCGTATTCCAGCTGCTGGATATTCTGCATCTTTTCGTTGTAGCGTCTGAACTGCTCAGATATCAGGACCTCCACACACCTGCACCCAACAGGGTCAGAAATCAGTACACACCCACATGTCAGAGAACACATGTAGTATTTTAAAGCCAGGGTTTTTCTAGAAGGGGAGGACTAAAAATTACATAAAGACAGTTAAACTCCTTGAGACCATGGGGAGTTATAGAAAGTCACTTTGTGACTCACCTTGTAGTTTTGGATACGTCCTTCATGCCAAGGAAAGGGTCATTGACATCAGGTGACCGAAGGATGCAGGGGGCGAACACGATAGCAAGAGAGCTTGGAGTCATCTTGTTGTGCTCTTCCTCTTTTGCAACCCTAAAAAAACAAACAGATCAAGATCTCACATGACTTTCATTAAAATGGATGACCATCATGACGAGTACATGTTTTTTTTTGTAACCCTTGTTTTAATGCACTGGGCGAAAACATTTTGTTCTAGCAATACATAAGAAAGATTATAGTTCAAAGAGAGTAACAGAGATTTTTCAACCTGACGAGGTGAAAGATGAGCCGCTCCAACGTGTTGTAATTAGCAGGAGGAAGTTCATCCACCTTTTGATAAACAGCTCTTATCCTCTTCGATTCCTCTGGCAGTTCTGAGGACAAAAACATGGAGATCAATGAACCAGCAAGAGTTCATTTCCATATGGGACATTTTCTTATTTCACGACCAGACTTATTACAAAATTTAAAGCAGAGCAGAAATAACAATCTTTCAACCTATTGCATGATAAAAACTTAATACCCAACTATTTTGATAAAGATGCACAGTACAACTACAGACCAACAGGTTCAATTCAACTCCCGTGGTTTACACTTTAAAATGTAATTACTCTCTACATTCACTGACCTGCAGCATGTAGAAAGTCACTGTAGAGAGAAAACGTCATGAGGGGGTCCGGCAGCTCTCTGAGCCAGCGTTTAACCAGACCTGTGATGGTGTGGATCGGGTATTTCTCTAAACAGACTCCATCAGGATCTGATGGCAAAGAGATGAAGAAGCACAAACACATGAACACACACAATTCTTCTTTTAAAGGTAGAGAAATTGTTTTTTTCTCAGCGCAGCATGATGAAAAAAATATTTCCAAGATATTGATAGCAGGAAAGAGTTTTAGGATCCTTTAAATGTAGAAGGAAACTCTTAAGCTGCTCCACACATGGAGGTGGGTGCTCTCAGAGAGGGACCTGAGATGTTCAGTGGACTCCTTCTCTCAGGCAGGATCCAAAATTCAAAAGTACTGGAGCACACAAATGACTTAAGGCAAATGTATTGAGGTGCAAAGGACAACAAACTTTCTTTAGATCCTGCCTGAGAGAAGGAGTCAACTGAAATATATTTTGATCCTTAAAATGTTTTTGTTTAAATACAGTTGGCAATTCATCACAGGTTGGAATTTTGCACTCTAGCCTATTTACAAAAACATAAAAAACAAACACATTAGCAGATGAGGAACAACATTGGAAACACACCAAAAAGGGGGAGAAATAGCTGAAATATGGGAAATTAAAATACCTAAAATATCACAAATATTTTCAAGTCTCTTGCTTGTGGTAATTTGATCCAACTTCCAACTTTTTTCCAACATTTGACTTCTTGTCATTGCTGCAAACCGAACTGCTAACGGGATTTGTTTGGTTGTGACATGATTTTTGTTTTGTTTTTAAAGCTTTTTTTTCCAGCTGATTTGCAAAGAATATCTTACTGGTCTGCAGAATCTGGTGGAGCTCCCTGGCTTTACAGGTTGAGCCCGACTTGCGGTAAATTCCCTCCGTGTAGAGGCCGTTGAGCTCCACGTGCATCAGCAGGGAATCCACCACTTTGGGTATGGGGTTGGCTTTACTGGTGAGGACACACACCTGCACCCCAAAGTGCAGCGAGCCCGGTACACTGTCATCCTATCACGAGCGAAGACGAGACGAGTTTATAGCGGAAGGTCACGGGAAAAAAGCTGTGTATATTTTAGGAAATATAAAATAAAACTTGTATTCATTGCTTCCTACCTGCCTGGCGCACCGTGTCGAGCAGTCTGTGATGATTTTGTCCAGGCATTTCTTGTGACATATTAACTTGCAGGCTTCAAAGAAAAAACAGAAGTAAGAGTAAACATTGATGTTCACTTTCTTGTGTTTTTTTTTTTAACTCCAAATGTTGTTGGATGTTTCTTGAACTCACCACTGCACATGTAGGCCTTCTCCATCCCCCAGATGTAGGAGCCGCACAGGTCACATGACTGCATGATGTTGACTTGGTAAGTGCTGAACCGATGATCCAGAGGACTATTGACCTGAAGGGAGGATGTACAAACACTGATTATTTACATGGATTTTATACTGAGACAGTTTACAGTACAGGTAAAGACATTAGACTTACACATGTGTCCTTTTTCCTCCTCTTCTTGGTTGTCTTTGTAGCCTGAGAGTAACCACACGAGAGATTTAAGAGTCAGTATGACAGGTAGTTTATTTATACCCACTGGCTTGGCTGATGAAAGAATTCTCATTCTTTACCTTGCTTGGTTCAGAGTCTGCTCGTTTGATCTGGCCCCTGATGAAGCCGTCCAGCACAGACTGAAACAAGTTGACCACCAGCGAGACTTCAGACTTCTGCTTGGGCCCTGCGAGCGTACCGACCTTGTTTTCGTAGCCCTTCATCAGATCTTTATAGCCGATTTGAGGCTTCTATTGGTCACAAAGTGAGATAGGAAGTACAGTGAGTGAACACTTACATACTTCAAGCTCCTATAACAGACTTCAACTTCAAAACAAAACAGAATTTATCTTCACTCAACATCTAAATATATATGAAGAAGCCAATAAAAGAACAAGGTCTTTCAACATGTATGACACAATGACCATCCAATGATCATGAACTGTATTGTTGCACTTGTAAAATGTACAAACAGACTGATCCCTCTGTCATTTCCTCCTAGATGTAAACGTTTTATCGTACAGGGGAAAGGCGTTGAACTGACCTTGACCGAGTACATGCCTTTGATGGTCTCTCTGAACTGCATGGTGGATGTGTGGAAGATCTTCTCTGTTGGTGACAGCTCTTTTATTCTAGATTGCAGCTCATTCACCTGGGGATGAAGATGAGGAAGTTATGAAGATTGAGAACGTTCCTATTTTTTTCTTCCTTTATATTATAAAGAGAAAGAGAGAGAGAGAGAGAGGGGGGGGGGGGTGGGGGGGTATGACGTGCTGCAAAGGTCCCAGACAGGAACACAAAAGGGGAGACTTGTGTGGCTTGTGCCTTCCTCGACTTGCCATTTGAGGGCTATAGAATTAAAAAAACAATTTTAAGAAGATAAATATAAAACTATTCAGATCTTGTAAAGCTTCTGAGTTTCCAAAGGCAGGAAGTCCAAGATACAAATCTAATAGAGAGAATAAGACTAAAATACGGCTTTTAATTCTCTCATCCATGACAGCTGAATGTGTAAATAGTTCAAATGTATCATTTCCATCGGGTTATTATCGGTTTATTTTTCAACAGAACTTGGCTACAGTATGACAAAACTGCTAAAAAAACCCCATCATATCTACTGGACTAAGAGTAATATGTGGGTCAAGATATGGAAGAGTTATACATAAAACCTGAGTTGGCAATCTGTGCTCCACATTCTATCAATCAAAAACTTTATTTGTATACAGTAGCACTTTTCATACACCGAAGTATCTCAAAGTGCTTTACATAAAAATAAATAAATCAGCAACAACATGACTCCCTCCCCCACCCCACAATCAAAGAACTAAGGTCAGAAATAACTAGATAAAAACAGGAAACACTATCATTCACTCTGAAAAACTAAATGAGACAACATGAGTTTGAAATGTAGGTCTTGAGTTTGCTTTTAAAACTATTCTATATCTGTGCTCCACGTTCCCCTCATCAGGTGATGACCTCACCTGATTTCCCAGGAATTCGTCCAGGTCTCGAAGCTCTTTGGTGTCGGTGATCTCTCGGTCGAGAGATTTGTTCCACTGCGTCACCCGAGTGGATCGGCTTATTCGAATGGTGGGGTTTTGACTCACCCGCTCATTGTCCTGCTTTGGCATGTGGTATGGATGCGGAGTGTAGCTACCCAGAGTCATTGCTGTCAGACAATGGAAGAAAAGGAAATGAAAATATACATTAAATATCTACTCTGTCTATTAAGGGATCTGAGACACCTTCTATAAAATTAAATGTAAATAAAATATCTTTACTCAGTGGAGCCGCTTGATAACACCTTAAGAAAATAAAGTTTAGTTTTACACCGCTGACTCATCTCCAGATGGCAGCAGAGAGAAGGTGATGTATGATAGTAAACTGTGACCTACATTTGTGAGATATTAGAAAATCAACACCAACATTTACAGAAAAAAAGTACATGTAAATAAAGAAATTGTCCCTTTTATCTTCTTTTATTTCACCTTTAGATCTTTCCGTCTAATAAATCCCTTTTTGTCAATACAGCAACACTTATTGTTGTCCCTGTTGCTGCCTTCAAAGTACACTGTATGTGTGTAAGGGTTGTCATGATACCGGAACTTTAAACTTAGATAGGATACAATAAGAAATACATCAAAAACAATTTCAATTTGTGTGTAATTTCTTGTTTTTATAACCAAAAATGACAGACACACCTCTTTACACTCTCTAATTTATATTAAGATGTTGGCAATGTTTCGGCACCAAAATGTTAACAATGTTTTTGTGCAGTTTAGACATTGCTGTCTCTTTTTTTTCTTGGCTTCTTAAGGTTTAAAAAAAAAAAAAAGCCTGAAGATCTCTCGTTTTGTATTCAAGCTCTGGTCCTTTCAGATAGCTGGTTCTCAACTCGTCTAGCCTCAGGACCCACTAACCCATTCCTCACTGACAAACAGCGAACCAAATTTCTGATCTTTTTTCAACAATTCAGATTAATGTAATAAAAAAATGGTGCAGTTTGCAGGATTCTGTCAACTGATTTGTACCTCAGACCGTGCAAGATGACCAACTAAACCAGACAATCAACAAAACAAACCCTTTTTCAAAAAGCGATTAACAGACTGTTTGACACCAAGGTTTTTTTTACAGGCACTTTCTTGCCACCCACTGATAACACTTCCGCGACCCACTTTTCGGTAGAACCACTTTTCTAGACTAAATCAATAATTAAAGGAACAAAGATTTTATTGTCTTTTAAAAAACAATTAAAAACGTTAATGTTTAGACAGGCCTATGGGTAATCAGGTCCACCCAGTGTGTAATGTTTTATTGTGCCAATTATTGTTCCTGGTTAACGCAGGATTTTATAATGTCGTCCATGACATACTCATTTTTTATTTTTTTATTCTTTCATTGTATGTTTGCTGTTGTTTTTTTTGCTGATGTAAAGCACTTTGTGAACTTAGTCTGCAAAAAGCGCTATATAAAAAATAAACTTTATTATTAAAACACATGGTATCAAAAAGCATTTTTTGACCACCTTCATGTGTATTTTTTAAATATCTGCTCTGTACTTGTGAACACATTAAGGTCTCTGCTTTAGAGAATACGTCTTCAAACTTTTACTTACCAGTTTTATCTGAAGGAGATTCATTGTTGGGGGAATATTTAGGAGCACGCTTCTTTAGGAATTTACTGAGAAACCAGATCCTGTAATCCAAAGACAGACTGTATCAGTTCTGTGCAGCGACATAACATTTATGTTTTACCCATGCTTAGAGCCTTGATGAATTTAAATTGATCTGAGAGACGGGTTTCACCTCTCAGGAGTTGTGAGTTGTGATTGGCGAGATCCCTGTTGTCTGGACTCTTCATCGTTTCCTCTGGGTGGAAGACTGAACCTCGACCCATCAGGCTCCGCTGGTAGCCGCTACAGAATCAAAAAATTTACATCTTCGGAGTTACAGTATTAAAACAGAAAAGACCAACTTTGAACAGAAAAAACTGAAAGTGTTCAGATGTCAGAAGAAGAGGAGTTAGGCCTCTCTCCGCACCAGCTCCTCCACCACCACCAGGCAGGACCAAGTATTAGTGGGATAATGGTAGTCCTCCACCATTTTTTACTCCTCATGCAAAGCTCCACTATCACCTGCCACCAGCTGGACTTTAACCTTTTTTTGCTTCGGTAAGTTAGTACGATCAAAGTTAGTTAACAAATCGATGAAACTTTGTCAGTGTGTTATGATGATGAACATTTGTTTTCTACACACAGAGGTGAGATTTAATGACACATTTACAGATTTTCATATTCCCTTGTAAATATATTCTTTATTTGATGTGATCGGCTGTATAAAGTTTTGAGTGATATCTAGAGCATGACCGATTAATCGGCCAGCCGATAATGTCGACCGATATTAGCATATCCGGACACTATCGGTATCGGATAATTTTATCGCCGATATTACTAGATTTATTCACCAGTCAAATAGTATTTCATTTGAGTTTCATTGTATTACATTAGCAGTTTTCTGTCACCAGTAGAGGGCGCTATATGGATTTCAACAAGCATTATCACTCTCCAAGTGTGTCAAGCGGTGACGCACGTACATGCGCAGATACTTTCCAGTGGAGTGACCGTCTTGTCTTCATTATAAATATTTTCCACAAGGTGTTTGATAACTGCATTTGAGGGATCGACACAATAAATGTGTTTATCTAAATCGATCTACCTCTACCGATGGCACATAGAAGGTATCAAATCGGCGGATAAATCCCACATCGGTCGGGCCCTGGTGATATCAATGTTTACCGGAGTCCAATGATTGATTTTGAGAAAAACTTGAGCACTTGGGTTTCTGTTAATTTTTGCACTCCCTATACCAAAAAGGGTTATATCTTCATTTCTTTGCTGATTTTCTCCTATGATGCATTGGTAGAGCTTTTGACAAAAATCAAACCCTGCTGTCTTTTAACAGTCAGCGGTATAACTCATGAATATCTGCCTTAAAACAACTTAAATAGGAAGTCGTTTGTGAATCGTCTTGTTCGACACCTACCCTGTGGCAGCAGTCAGAGGCATTCAAATGAGTTTACAGAAAAAGTCCATCTTGTCCCTGATGGTCTTGTTTGTTTTTGTAGCTCATAAATTGGCACCAGTTTAAATTTTAGTCCGTTTCGTAATAAGTTAAAAACTTTTTGATAAAAGCTTTTGATAAAAGTAAATGCTGTCTTACTCTGTATATGATGAACATTAATTTGCATGAATGTTTTAGTACTTTTGATCTGTAAACATAAAAGGAAAGAAAAAGCTAAAATAACTGAAGTAAAAATCTCTTCATTTTTAAGAAACCAAAAAACATTGAAATAATAGTGACTCATCATTTTCTGCAGTATTTTAAAACTAAACCTGGAGACTAAGGGCTTCTTTTAGATTACGAGACAAAAAAGGTAAAAAATGAGCTTCGAGATTCCCTCGTAGTTTCTTTTCTTAAGCAACAACAATTTTTTTTTTGTCCTGGGCTGCAAAGCAGAAATAAGAAGTCTCAGAACGATGAAGCCGTCAGTCAGGCATTCGAGGCATACACATGCAAGGCCTGCATGCAGGGGAGCGCCGCTGAAGGTCGAAACGTCTCTTCGGTCAGTACCTTGACCTGAGTTTTGAGGTCCCGGACATCCATGCTACTGACACAGCTCTTCATTTTTGGCCCATGGGGGCTGATTGGAGGCAGCGGAAAGCTCCAGTACTCGCTCTCCTTGGAACCCGCAAAGTTAATCATCAAACCGCTACGGGTGTAGGCTAAGCGCCGCCTGTGTTTGGGCAGCTTGCGGAGACGCACGTTGACCTGATTGGGCCAGGAGAAATGATGAGGCACAGACTGGGAGGCTTTCTCGTACTCCTTTGAAATAGGCCTCCATTCATCTGTTTGTCAGCTTATACCACATATGACCACTGTACATAGACAAAGCCCTACCTAATGTTTACAGGATATTTACTACAGCTATATGAGGAGCAAAAAGAAGAAACCATTAAGTGTTCTCTATGTGGATACAGAGTTTCTTCGATGATGTAATGACTTATTAGCATCGTTTACCTTGCTGGTGGAAGGGGAGCTATCAGAGCCGGAGGAGCTGATCTTTGATAGTTCATCAACAGACATGGACTTCCCCTTGCCCCTGGTGTTGCAAAAGAGGAATAAGAGCAGAGCTGTGGATTATTGTGAAACTAAATCCCCCTTCAATTTATAGTAACATCATCAAAAACTTGTTGCCAAGTCATAATTTCACAATACAGACACGAAAGAAATAGAAAAACTTCCAGGTGGGCATAGACATACACATTTGTTGTTAAGAGATTATAAAGGTGACGTTAACAGAGCTCCAACATCTGTGAAGAAAGGTTTGGAGTACTTACTGAAATCCTTCTTTCGACTTGTCTCGTCGCCGCAGTTCTGGACTGGAGTCATCGCTCTGTCTTTCCCGCCACTTCTCGGCCTTCTCCTTCATGCCCCCCATTTCTGTATAGCGCTGTAGCGAGCTGGCCTTGGAAGGGCTGGTGGAAGGATCGTTGCTGCAACCTTTAGGGTCCAGTGGGAGGGAGAGGGGTCTGTTCAGAGGGGGAGGAGAACCTCTGCCCTCTCGCTTCTCCCTGCTCCGGTCTCTCTGTGCAGACTGGCCGTTGACCGGGTCGGGCTGCTGGGTTCTGCTGGGACTCATCTCAATTTTGCTCTGCCTCCTCAACTCTTTTTTTGTCAAGCTGTTACAGGAGAATCACTGAATCAGACTGGCAGCAGACTCACTGTACTCTGTGCATGCTAATGGTTCATTATCTGCATTAACTCTGAGTTTACCTGTATGCACAAATAGTTAAAAATAATGACTTCATGTTCAGTCGTTAAAACCTGGACGGATATGATCCTGTTATGGCGTATGGCAGATATATCGGCTGACTTTTTGCAAGCTTTCCAATATGTTTATGCAGTATAATATTTGTCCACCAGAGGGAATGGGACGCACATTTTTAATATTAAAAATTTCCTTCTGAACACATATCTTTACTACTATAATTCAAAAACAAAATCTGCTTTTGTTAAACATCCTATATCATCAGAAAATCAGCTTCCTCACTCATTAACATTCTCCTTGAATACCAGCCTACCTGTGTGGCATTCAAACCTAAACACATAAACATGCTGCCAAAGAGACGGCCCTTGTGCAAAAAGTGCTTCTGAGACTTTTAAAAAAGCAACACATGTAAACAGTCAGAACATTTTGAGTAGAGGCCGCTTGAGCCGCTTGGACTTTAATGCTCCAACAACCAATAAATGTTTTTTTTTTTTAAATGCCTCTGTTGCTTTAAATGAGAGGTTTTTTTTCAAAGACCAGCACACGAATAAACATAGCTCTTGAATAAACATTCTGTCAACGTGTGATTTTAAATGCAGCTTTCCTGAGAACAGTATTTAGAGTGAGGCTGGGTGGACGGCATACAGAGGCACTACTGTATATACTTCAATCATGCATGTGTTATTTTGCCTCCTAAAAGCTATGCTTGAATTGTATAATAGTGTTAATTCATTACATTTCTACAATGTAAGCAGAGTAAGTTTATGAGTTACCTGTCCCGTCCGGGCCGTGCTGTACCCTCATTCTCGTGTGGGTGCTTTGACTTCTTTAAGGAACTCCTCCATGCTGTCTGGATCACTGTAGCAGCTCTGTTTTCTTTCTCATAAAACTCACGCCAGTTCCTCTGGAAAACACCAAACTTCTTGTTAATTAAAGCCGTCTAGCAGATTTGAAAAATTTGAAAATAAGTTGACATTCAAGAGGACATCCTTAGAAAACTGTAACAATGGGAGTGTTTTGATTGTGTGGTAGCTCCATGAGGAGATTGCCTCTATAAACGGTACCTGTATGATCATAGTGGCATCTTTCCTTTGCAGGAAGTGTAACCTCATCAGACAGCCACGGAACCAGCGCTGCAGAATAATGATGTGAAGCATCACTTTTCTGTTCTGTGAATCTTGTAGCAGTTGTCTCTCCTTCTCCTTCAGGAACACCTGAGCAGGTAAAAGAAAAGGCGACATCTGTAAGGCCCTGAAACACCAAGGAGAACGTCGATCGTCGGCCCTAGCTTTTGTTGCTACCCGTTGGCCCCCGTCTGCCTTTTTTTTGGGCGATTCGACATGTCGCTGTCGGCGCGGTTGGTGAGAGGAATCACTCTGATTCACGGGCACGAGAAGAAAAACGGAAGTGACGCAAGCAGGTGAGGTTACTGTGTGACCTGGAGTGCATTTCAGTACATGCATTACTTCTTATGTGACTTTCATATGTGTGCATGTCTTTATGTAAAGCAGGAAAACCACAATGTTGGTGACAGTGTTCTACCACAGTTGACCATAAAACTTATGGGACATTTGATATTCAAAAACATTTTTGCATGTCAGGTTTTAAATCCAAAAAAAGACACATTAGACAAACATGGTGTTATGCAGAACTCCTGGGTAATCCAAATGTGAAGAAAGGATCTCATATGGCAACAGCACTTCAATCCCCTGGACTTTGTGAAACAAAAATAAATGACTGCTGCTGTAAATATGTTTACCTGTGTTTTCCCGATTTGATAGGTGTTCTTGTGTAGCTCCATCTTCACGAGAAGTTCTGTTATATGCTCCGGTGTTGCCGTAGCTCCTTTAGGTAGCAGCATTCTGAACTTATTTACAAACTCCTGTCAGCGAGAGAAAAACAAACTATCAGAAGTCCAAATATACTTCGCTGTCATTTTAAAGCACAGGCGTGTCTTTTCATCTTTAGACTACTTTGAATGTACAGTGAAGTAGGAGAGTTATTTACATTTATATATGATATATAATCACATATTTTTCTAATGATTGCAAACCTTAAAAGTGTATTTGGCGGTGTAGCCAGACTTCTGGACGTGAACAATCTGCCCTATGCCGGAGTACTTGATTTGCTGCAGCACGAGTTCATCATCAAAATGGAGCTCCTTCTGTGAAAACAAAACACTCTTGCTGTGATCGACTGTCTTATACAGAACACGTGTGTAACTTAACAGCATGTTGCCACTGATTCACAGATGATTTTTTTTTACCTTCTCAGCATTGGAGCGAAGACAGAAAATGAAGAAGGGCTCTGCTTTTTCCATCGTCTCCATCAGCTTCCCGAGCGAGGCCTGTCGGACGCATAAAAGCTCAGTGAGTGACGCAGTTTTCTACGATGAAAGGAATCGTTAAGAGATTTTTTTATGCTTCTCCTGTTTAGTTGAAATTTAGTTTGCTACTTAGTCAAGAAAGACAGAAATGTTATAAAGACAGTTGACAAACCAGAGAAAAACATTGAGTGGGTTTTTATTCAGAATTGCAAAAAAAAAAAGAAGAGTATAAATATTGGGATGTCAAACAATTTAAATTTTAAGTCAAGATTCATTGCTTAATTTTAATATTCAAACACGATTAATAGCATGTTTGAAAATCCAATAATTCACATTTAAAAATAAAAACAGTTACGCTTTTATTTTGAATAATTGTCTTAAGGTGAGACTACTTTACCTGCTGTATGAATTTAACTCTGCTTATATTTTGAAATAAAGCGAGGACCTTGTGGTAGATTGAAGGTTACGACATTAACTTAAAGATGGAAAAAAGAACTCACTTCAACTAACTAAATGAAAATTGCCATGTCATGAGGTGGATATTACTTGAAACTTTCCAACTGAGCAGTCTGAGAGTTTATTTATTTATTTAAATAAGCCATTCAAATATCCAGTAGTGTCGTTCTTTTCCATCACTATGACTACAGACACTGAAGGGGCTCATCTACGGTGCGCCTAAAGGGACAAAATATATTAAAAAAAGATTTAAAAAAAGCATCAATTCGAAACCTTAATAAATCACAATAAAGTAGTTCATCGTGACAGCCCTAATTAAAAGTTGTTAGCTCTACAGTAATTAACTAAAGTGGATACTTGAGACTACAGCTCAAGTCCTTCAGATGGACTCTATGGACTTAAGTGTGTGAGAAGCATGTCCATATAAATAACAGAGTGTAAACCGAATTTCCCCTCTGGGATTAATAAAGTATATCAAAATCAAAAAAAGCTGTTTTGTTTTTAACAGTGAAATTCTTCTGGAAACACATCAAACTATTATTGTGCAAAACAATGCATCCTGAAGGGATTAGAGGAAGAACAATAACCTCATAAATACTTAAAAGAAAACATGTGATTTAGTGCGCTCATTCACAAATGTTGTCAAAAAACAGAGAATAAACAGGAAGAATATGCCACCTGGGATTTCAGATAAAATGTTTGATAAATGTAGAACTGACATGAGATCCGAAGTGCCAGATGTGCTTGATATATGTTGCATCATGAGAAGAGCATCAATAGTCAGAAAAGACATGTAAAAGAGGACAGACCTGGAACTGGGCGTTAACTGTGGGGGGCTTTGTCGTCCTGTGAGGGTGGAAGATAACTTTGCTGGTTCGGTCATGTGCAGTCAGGCCAACGATATGTTGGATTGAGTTGAGATTCACGAGGTTCTGTTCATTAAAGCACAAACATCTGTTAGCATTCAGTGGACACATTAATGAACAGAGGATTGAGACGAAGAATTACAACTGAATCTCTATTCAGATTTATGCTGAATTATTAAAAGTTTAATCAAATCTGCACACATTACGCATGCCTCTACCTTTGGAATCAGCTGCTTCTGTCGACCAGCTCGGCTCTTTCTGCAGACAGTACAAACAAAATATATGACTCTTCAGCATACAGCTCTGGAAACAGACTCAGAAGATGATAGTTAACAAATTAAATTCCAAAGGCATGAAGCTCACTTACTTCTTCTGCTCATAAGATGTATAGATGTCAAATACGTCGAGAGACAGATCATCAGAGCGATCGAAGGAGAAATCCAAGGTCAGGCTGTTGCTGGAAATATAAGAGAGAGAGATGCTTTAAATCCATCTGCAAGGAGTATTTTCTTTTCTTTAATCTCTAATTCACATTAAACTTAAGATGTTCAGAATATACGTGTTGTCTCTGAGGGTCATACTTTGTATTTTTAAAAAACTGTCACAAAGGGAAAACCGTTTAAATGAATGTTCAATATGTTTGTTGACTCTTAATCTGATGAGGCCTGTGCCTGTCTACTATCCCATTTATTCTGGGAAAACTCCCCCTGACATGCAACTAGCCCCTGATCCACATAAACAAGTACTGTACACGTAGCTTCAATACTTCCTCATACAGACTCTTAAATGGGGGGACATTTATATTCTCCTTTAATACTGGTAAGACCTGCAACACAGCTTGAGTAAGAGACCCTCCTTCCTCTCAGAGACTTGTTTATACGTCACCTTTAATAATACTATCGGTCTAAATGACATTTCCTTAAAGAGGACATATTATCCCCCTTTTCCACCTTTTCAAACAGTCCCCTGAGGTCTAAATGAAACATATGTGCTGTGGTCAAAATATAACATGAATCAAGCACCAGAGGAGGTTTGTGACCCTGTATAAACCAGCTCTCTCAGAACGCTCCGTCTTGGTGTGTGTGTCTCTTTAAATGAGCCCACCCTGAGTTTTCCCGGTAGACATCACTCCTCTGTAGCGAGAATAAAAATGGCAGATCTGCGCAAAAGTTTTGTTGTAGGCTGGGGGTGGAGTCCATGGATGGAGATATTAGGGAAGGGGAGGGGATTTTTATTACCAGAATCCCACTGTGATGTCACAAGGAGCGCAAATTTGAAACTGAGCATTTTTCTCTGTGTTGTAAGACTTGTGCAGACCACAAACAAAGGACTGGATGGGTTTAGTTCATATTTTGTGGGTCGGCAGACACTCAGGTTACCCAAATATATGTTCAAAAACACTGTAAAAGTGGATTTTTCATCATATGTCCCCTGTAACAAATAAAATGTGAACTGATCAAAATGAGTCAGTGAGTGAACAGAACATAACAAAGAAATGTCTGTTTCTGGATGTAAACCATCATGGCTGATGGAATTACTCATCAAATATTAATGCTCTGAAACTTAGTCTCTGTGTGATCCAGGAAACAGTTTCAGTTTCAAACATTTTGAACTGACACAATGAAAATCAGTGGAAGTTTATGTGGAGGATAGGCATGTCAGTGGACTCAATATCCACTATAACTGAACTTACCTGGACAGCCTGTTGATGGGACTGCTCTGCTGTCTCATGCATTTGAGAGATATCCGGGAGTTATGTCTGCTTTTAACTGAGGTGACAAAACAGCAAGTCAGTTGTATATTATCATTAAAACACAATATTTCAATCACATTTTATTAACTAAAGTCAGGTAAACTAACATGCTATTGTATCAAAAACACACAAACACATCCAAGATTAGCTAAGAATGAAACTGGATTAGCAAACATTGCTTCTTACTCAGTTCAGCCCGCTTGCGTCCCATGTTTTTGAACACTGAGAGGATGCGGATGGTGGCTCTAAGGACTCCCCATCTGAACTGCGCCACCGGACTCGACGCAACCAAGTGATGCAGGAAAGACCGCTCACTGCTCCGTAGAAGTGATATAACCTCAGGACGCATGTGCTCAGTGTTTTTCTCCCGGAAATCCTGAAGAACAAAAAAAATTGTTCACTTTTATTCTAGCTTTAGATTTAAAAAAAAAAAAAAAGGAATCTGTGCTGTGCACATTTATAACATCATTCACATCTTCAAACTGCACAGTGAAACAATTCTGAGTCTGTTTGGAAGAAGGAGCCTCGTTAATGATTCACTTAGTTTGAACACGTTTCCTGGTTTTTCCCACAGTAGCTTTTTTAACAAGGCTGCTGCACACAAGTTCTGGGTTTCAGTTATCGAGCTGTTTCATATCAAATGTAGACAGGGACAGTTTTTATTTACTCTGTAGAATGAAAGGAGTGTGAAATATGCTGCACCTTGATGTTATACTTGACCCTGCCAGCAAAGTGTTGAATAACAAAAGATGACTCTGTATCTGAAGCGGGTGAGAAGAACGGGCTGTCATGATGCTGCCTCTTCAACTTGTTCATCAAGGTTTCATCCGTGGCCTGAGGGCGGCTGAAAATACACAGAGAGAGGGACAGAGGGTCAATATCAACACATGATATCTTAAAAAGAAAAATGAGATGCAGATTGTGTGGAAATATGGAAAAAGACTTGAGACAGAGTACGTCTGTTGTCAGGCAGGAGATAGTGAAACATAATAGCTACGGTTAACCAGCAGAGATGCACAGATTGATATCGATGTGTAAAATAATAATTCAGCATATGGCCGGATGTTTCTTCCATTACTTCTATGTAATTCATCATGTCTGTTTTTCAAATACGCCATAAAGTCTGACATACTCAAACTGCATGTCGCTGAAATTTCCCTGAGATGGTGAAAGATTCTCACACTGACAAATATTTCTTTAATCCTTGGCCATGAAATCAAATTAGAGTTTGTCCAACAGCATGTGACTTCTTCTGCCCGACTAAAAAAGTTGAACCCTTCGACTGCCACTTTGTGCCCAAATGTTTTAGTTAAAGTTCACCTACCTGCTCTCCTCGTCCAGCAGTTTAAAGAGTCCGCTTGCTTTCTCACCGATCAGCTCAATGCAGCCACTGTTGTCAGAGTGGTCGATGTTTTTCCAGGTGAGGCCCTCTGACACATAGACCTCCTGGAATATATTTCAAACACAACAATACATTGTCAGCAGTCAAAAAGGACAACACACTAACATAGTTACCATGGTATCGGCAAGTTTTAAGCCTCCTTGACGCCAAAATTAACGAATAAAAAAAATAAAAACAAACTGAAATGAGACAAAAAATTAAAGCACTAAATTCTTAATCACAGATTGAAGCTACAACTGAGATAATGATAAAATACACAATAATTTATCTGTTTATAAGTTCATATAAAAAGAACATTTTCTGGTACTTCTTACACTGCAGGTCAAATTCACCTGTTCACACAACACACTGACGACAGAGGCTGCTCTGTAAAGTGTCCTTCAGTTTTAACTAATCCAATTCATACACATTCACACGCCGCTGACAGAGCAGCAGGAGAAATTTAGGGTTCAATGTATTGCCAAAGAACACTTAAGAATGAGAAACACCAACTTGTGTAAGCTTGAAGATGTGCTGGTTGTTGTAATATTGCAGTTTCTCGTTGGTGTAGTTGATGCACAGCTGCTCAAAGCTGTTCATGCGGAGGTTCTCAAATCCAAACATATCCAGTACCCCGATGGACAAACACTAAAAAACAAGAACAATTTATATACCGTCATACAAAAAGCAGCATACTTGGTACATGTTTATGTCACTGATGAGCTAATTTAATGGTGTAAAGTCCTGCCAAACTACAGTGTATGTTTTAAATAATCCAACTTTCTAATGACTTTAGAATTTTATTTTATTTTATTATTCCCTTTTCAGAAAAAAACCCTTGGACTTAAGACATACAGTTGTGATAATTGATCAGTTGCAGCAATTTAAAAAAAATCCCTCTACTAATTTTGAGCAGAACGGTTGAAAATGTTAATTGAGTAAAAATGGCCGCCTGCTATTCCTCTTTATTAACTTAGTAGTAATTCCATTAACTCTGTTACATGACTTACAGAGACAGAGTCCTTGATGTCCTGTCTGTTCAGCACTGCATGGTTGATGTGAAGGATGATCCAGTCAAACAGGACGCTGTATAAAGACTTGGCCATGGAGTCCCGCACACTGTAGGCCTGAACACGCAGAAACATCAAACGAAGAAAGTTAGAAAAAGGGAGTTTGGATAAACATGCTAAATCTTACAGTAAATTTAAACTCTGTACCTCATGTAGGTTGTACTGTGAAAGCACAGAGGCGTTGGCACTCACTACTCTCCTCTTGGTCAAAGTCTTCACCAGAAGCTCCTTTTTCACCTTGAAAATAAATATCAAAATAAAATGATTACGACAGCTCATCAACACAAATAATGAATGCACAAGAGAACCACTTCTTACAGCTGAATTTGACCATCAGAGCAGGTTACAGCATGTTTGTTCTTTAACAATACACAGAGTTATTTTAGGTGTAGCGATGACGCACACAGTTCATCACACTTAGTAACTGTGATTTCATCCTAAGTGTAGCAGTATTGAACTAGAAAGTTAAGACTTCATGTCCTTGATTTAGATGAGTTTCATGAACGTTTCAGTGTAGAGACGTACTTTCAGGAGGTCTGACAGTGAGGACAAAACTTCATCAGGTCCCACTTCCAGGACTTCACTGTCTTCAGACAGTGTGAAGGTCACATTGCCCAGGTGAAGGATCGCCGAGAGGATGGAAAATATGCTGCAAGGTGGAAATACAAACAGAAAGTGTTGGCAAGAGAGGTTTTTAGGTTCTTTAATTTAGGAGTAAGAGGTGAAGCGAACGACTTTCTGTAATGCTAAACGTCCTACTGAGTCAATCTTTTTCATTCTGGTACACAGGTTGACACAGGAGGATTTTCAGTTGTATTGCAGAGTTTAAATCTATTTCATTTTGCAACAAATCACATCATGATATTCATTCATTCAAATCTGACTTTTTCCATATTTTGTGCCTTCAAATCAAGTTTCCTTTTTCACAATCTTAAACTTAAAGCTTCACATTGACTGGTTATTCTTCTCACTCCTTTTGTTGTATATTTTTTGATTTCATTATCTCTTATCTTTTCTTTCTTTCAACCTTCCTCACAGTTCATCAGTGTGTCCACGTTAAATCAAAACAGATGAGAAACTTGTCTCTGGCTAACAGCAGCGTCTGATATACTAATCTTTGCTGTGTTGACATTCACATATCAGTGCTGCCTTCAGTTTTCTTTCCTGATATCTCATTAGCTACAGAAACAAGCTGCACATGCAGGTCACAGATACTGAGGCGGTTCATACTACTCTGAACTTTGTGTCTAATTGTGGTTATTCACCAGGGGAGCTAACAGGAACAGGTTACAAACTATGCTGTAAATGTTTTTGTTTTTTTGTGCACACTGTGTCCCGAGGCTGTCAGGCACTCATTCACATGCTTGCTGCATTTTTTCTCCTGCTTGACTTGACAAGCTCTGACCTGTTACTGACAGCAGAACAGAAAGCAGGAACTACTCAACAGTTTTCTGCTAAAAAAAAAAACATGACTATGTTACGTTACTTGTGTGGATAGTGTTTAGACTGGTACATCTTACCGAGCTGTGCAGCTTCATTATCAATCAATCAATCTTTATTAGTTTAGCGTCAATTCATTCTAAATGTTATCTCAAGACACTTTACAAAAAAAGACCTTACTCTTTGTTAAATTATCTACAAAGACCCAACTTTAATTAATCCATCATGAGCACTGAGCAACTTTTAGCAAAGATACAGTGGAGAGGATAAACTTCTTTAAGAGGCAGAAACCTCGAGCAGAACCAGACTCATGATGAACATGACATCTGCTGAAACTGTTCTGGGCTTGAAAAGTAGGATAGATAGAGATGCATTGATGCACTATCATCACTGTTGACATTGTAAACATCTCCAGACTAAGAGCCAAGGGTGAAAAATATGATTTTGTCTTTCAAATATTTAGTTTTAGTTGTAAGGTTTTATTTGGAGACAGGGCAGACGATAGAGCCAGAAATTGGCGCGTGAGAGAGAGAGAGAGAGAGAGAGAGAGAGAGAGAGAGAGAGAGAGAGAGAGAGAGAGACTTGACATGACATGCGGGAAAGGAGCCACAGGTCGTACTCAAACCCGGGCCGCCCACTTTGAGGATTAGAGCCTCTGTACATGGGTTGCACGCACCAACAACCAGGCTGTTAGCGCTCCCTCTTTCAAATACTTCTGTCACTCCATGCTTGTCATCCTCTTGGTGTACCAACGATTGAGCTTTACTGTAATGATAAATGGACTGTTGGGTCGTTCAAAACAAATTCTACACGTCTGACAAAAAAAAAAAACAATGTGATTTTTTTATAAACAATTGAGGCATAATTACAGGCTTTTTCTTTTCCATACAATCACATTTATAAAACTCAGCAGTCATTTGTTGACTTTTCCTAAAAGGTAGCTTTAGCTCAACCTGCCTGCATCATTTCAAGTTAAAATCATACTTACTATTTCTTGGTGGCGGCCAGGAAGCCGACCATCTCCAAGGCTTGATGAAGCCTCTTGTATTTCTGCCTGAGATTCTCCTCGTCATCTAAAGAGAAGTCTTCCTGCAGGAAACCAGAAGTGAGATGGAGAGAGAAAAGGAGGGGTTAAGAAATGATGCTACAGGGGTGTATGTTTGGATTCAGATTACCTTGTTAATCTAAAGAGTCATAACAAAAAAAGCATCTCTTTTTATTTGTTTCTTCTTCATTATGTGGATGTAAAACGTTGAAACTTTATGTATTTGTCCATGTAGTGCTCACACCTGTCGCTGAGTTTTAGAAGCTCACAACTGAAAGCTCTTTCATCGAAAGTTTTGCACCATTAAAGCACATAAACCTGTAAGTAAATCGTTACCTTTTAATTTACAGAAGTTATTCACTATTAGAGATAGTTCGGTCAAACACAGGAGTAAATATCATGTCATGTTCAATTATTTTGGAACAACATTAAAACAAAGATGTGTTTCGATTTATGGAGTCAAATTATGAAACTGTCAAGAGAGACAACAATCGATGATTCAAATCTATTCATGTGAAGAAAACATTAGCTACGTATGGATCAGAAGAACTTTTTTCCAGGTAATTAGTTTTGATTGGTCAACTTTAATTAAAATAAAGTATCATGTGTTTCTCTTTTCTCAGTGAAGTGTGATGGATTGTACCCACACATGGCTTATGTAAATATGAATGTACTTAAACATGTAATCTGGCCACAGTACATTACTGTAATGTATTTAATTTTATCTTATTTACTTTTTTTCCTTGTACAAAGGGCAGGTTAATACGTTTTTCTTCTTCCTGCACCTTTTCGTTTGTTGTATAAGCCAAAGTGAAAAAGAACGTTTCCTCTACATAGTACTGTTCAAACAGAACCAAATAAAACAAATGAATAAAAAGTCTCATTGAGTGAGTCACAGCTGATTTCACTGAACCCGACTGAGCTTTAAATTAGATAGACAAGAACCTATTTGGTCAATTCAGTCACATAAGTCAAGACATGGAGGACTGAAAAGTCTTTTTCACTGTTTGTTTAAAAACAGTAAAACATATATTTCTTATTTTAGTTCTGAGTTTTCAATCTTTTTTTCTTATGTCAGAGGAAAGCCATGAGACACTCAGCAGGAAAGTTTTAGCTGAAGCTAAATCTGTAATCCCATCACAAACAAAGATTAAGTGCGTCTGAATTCAAAGAAACTGAAAATACTTGTTAAATGGCGAGGCTAAATGCTGGTAGTCGGTCCATTTAGAACTGTTAACACAAACAAAAAGGGACCGACCTTTTTTAAGTTATTGCTGAGTCAGCACCGGGGTTCAATCAAGCAACAGCTCTTAAAGGCATTAATAAACAGGATTTAATAAGCAAAGACATCAATATGTCAACTAATATAATGGCGTTTGTTTGAGAGAAAGCAGGGGCACTGTAAGCCCGGTTAAAGGGCAGATTCAGAGTTTATTGGAGTGCTTGTTTATTTACCACTCTGACCAAGCTTTGTCACACATCTATTTACTGCTGAGGAGTTTCCAGATAATGTGGATCTGATTCCATTGAAACATCAACCGCCGGTTTTCCCCTCTTCGATAACATCAAATGAAATCACGCCTAACGCTCACCCTCCTCCCCTCTCTCAGTTACTGCAGCTGTAAAATGGGCGGATCAAAAGTACCTGCTTGAGGTAGAGATAATCCTGCGGCTGTAGGAGGTGAAACTCCTCCTGCTCGTCTTTGGACGCTCCCACGAGCAGGTAGTAGAACACATGGTAGTTCCTGTAAACCACAGGTGAAAGAATGACAACACAATCAATCAAGGCTGTTATTTACATAAACTTTCACTGCACAAAGTAGGAGGACATCACACTTCTTTAAGAGCGCTCTGCTCATGTTAGGCGCCAGGCATGTAAGAATAAAAAATAACAATGAATGAGGCGTGTGTCTGGGAGGATATGAAATTCCATCTGGATGAGTCTTCACCATACCTCTCATTCTTATCTCGGGACACCACTCTGCACTTTTCCAGCAGGTACTTCTCAATAAATGCCCTGAAAGAGAGAGACACGCGAGAAGAGAACGTCAACCATGTGTGTGAACATTTGGTGGGTTGTCCAACATCATCCAAGTACGGCCAAATTACCAGATACACAAAAACATTTATCAACAAAATAACTTCCAGAAGTGAGCACAGACAGTCAGGGAGAGAACTCAAACACAAAGCCTCACCCTCTGATGACGCCGCTCTCCAGATAGTTCAGCTGGATGAACTTCCCAAAGCGACTCGAGTTGTTATTCTCTGCAGTCTTGGCGTTGCCGAAGGCCTGTTTGGAACATAGGGAACATCAGTTTTCACTAAAGTAAACAGAAAAACTTTGTGGGCACGTTTTTCACAGACGCTGGCACCAGGGACCAGAACACTGTAAACACAGAACAGCTTTCAGATAAATCTGTTCAGTCTGTAGAGGGAAGGGGCCCTGTTCCAGTTAGAAACCTCATGGACATGGATGATTGAGGTTGGTGGGAAGTATGGATTTAATTTACGATGTTTATGATTATAAATTAATCTGTTTATTTCTTTCTCAGTTTATTTAGAAATCTTTGATCGATTGTTGCTGAAGTCATTGTTGCAGATGAAGCCTGAACTAATTAAGGGTTTGCAAATCAGACTCATGGATGTAGACTTTAAAAACATCAGAAACGTATCAGTATTCAGTAATAATACAACTTAAGATCATAACTGTAAAAAAACAAGTAGGTTATGTCTTGATAATTTAAGTCTCTTGAATATGTTAATAGTCTATGTTGTGAATTTTAGATTGTTTTTTTTTGGGGGGGGGGCTTTTTGTGCCTTTATTGTAGTGATAGGACAGTGGATAGAGACTGAAATCAGGGGGAGAGAGAGAGAGAGAGAGAGAGAGAGAGAGAGCGAGAGAGAGAGAGAGAGAGAGAGAGAGAGCGCGGGAGGAATTACATGTGGGAAAGGCCACAGGTCAGATTTGAACCTGGGCCTGAATTTGATATTGTTTCTTAACTGAAACAGTTTGCATTCAAATTAACACTGTGATGGATTTTATCCTTCAATCAAACAATATGGATACCTGTTTGTTATCCATGGCAACAAAATGAGAACTCTTAAGCTTCCCTTATGTAAGAAATTTCTTGTTTTCAATTACTAAAAAATTGCAAGCAAACTCCTGCAGACTGTCAATATTACATAAATACATTGTCAACGTTTCATAACGTCTGCTGTCACCTCCTCTGCTTACTGTCTGTTAGTAAAGGACGTAAACTTGACTTTTGCGTCTTTATAAGATGACAAAAGACTTGAGAAATGTCATTATTAGCAGACCTGAGAATTTGAAAGGACCACTGCTGCTCTGTCACTTTCAGCTCTGGGTTCAAATGTGACTGAAGGTCTGTTGTTTTATTTTTAAGCTTTGGTTCTTTTGGACACTATCAGTCATTAGAGTAACAGTATTGTTTTAAAGCATTTGGTATCTTAAAGTATTGTACATCCACATCACCAGCAGTCCTGCTAACTGCATCAACACAGATACACCAGGAGATTTCCATATGTACAAAAGAAAATTCAAGGATTATGAATGACGTTAGTTGCAGAGGAAACATTTCACAACAGCTCTGATTGTTTTGATCCTGAGACTGGAGACAGTTACTATGGGCAACAGCAACAACACAACTGACACCGCCCAGTCACTGGATGAAATGACGCTCATTAGCTGCAGCTGAGCCCAAGTCAGCACCTGTAAGGTATCCTTCTTCTTCATTCCAGTGTGAGCTTCCCTGAGGGCCACGCTACTGTATGTCTGCACTGACTGCTGTACTCATGCAGCACTGGCAGGTAAAGCTCTGCATCGCTGGAATGTTCCTACCCGGTGCACCTCTGTCAACACAGCACGGGAGGTTCAAACCTGGCTTTTATTTGCAGATCTATCACACCAACATAAAGCATGTGCATACAGCGGGGAAAAGCTGAAAGGCATGCAGAGAGAGGAGTGAAGATGGTATGAGGAAGAGGGGGAGAAACAGGTGTTTGCCACGTCCCACTTTAGACCTTTAAGAGGAGCTCCTGTGGCCCAACAGAGGAAAAGGAGATAAGTGAATTCAAGGAGAACTTGTCTGCTCATTAAGTCAACAAAATTCCAACTTTATCACAAGGAATTTGGCCTCAAAAAAAGTCAACAATGTGGGAAATACCCAGGGTAAGTTATGGAGAAAATAAGCACATTGAGTACGATATCTTGGGGATTTGGTTTCTGTGGTGAACATATTAAACTAATTATCTATATGACATCAACCAAACAATGAACTTTACTAGTAGCTGGACAAATATCGATACGCTTTTCCTGACTGGTGTGGTGCAACTAGTCGTATTGCTGGTGCCAAAAATGTCTATTTTCATTTTTCACACGGTGGGGCTTATGAAATGAACCAGGGTGACGTGATGAGAAGGTAATTGGTTAAAGACAAAGTCGACAGCAGGATACTGTGGGACAGCGATGTGGACGTTATAATGGAACAAGCATGATGAGAGAAGAGACATCAAGTTGTAGTTCATGAATACAGTAATCCTGCACTTTCCCTTTTAAGGTGAATTGTATATTCTTTAGTTAAACAGATGTCATGATGTATCATAATGTGATTGTCATGACATATTTCTTTTTTTTTGGCTTTTATCGTAGACAGGACAGTGGATAGTGTTGGAAATCAAGAAGAGAGAGAGTGGGGAAAGAAGCCACAACTTCAAGGGCTACCCACTCTATCTCACCACTAGGCCACCGGCGCCCTGACATATATTATTAATGCAGAATCACTTTATTGTGTTATTATGATGTGCCACATATCACGTATCATATTGTATCGTATCCTTCCTCATCAAATGTAACTGCATAAGTGCACGGTGTGATTTCCATCACCAGCAGTTTAGTGTGTTGACATTGTAAATTCTGCAGGTTTAGAGAATCTCTAAATGTTATGCCTGTGACTCATCATTATTTAGTTAGTTGCACTTGATCTTTTTTTTTTAATGCCAGGACAAAAACACAGAAGAGTTTTACTTTTGAATTTGAACACTTTTAAGAAAAAGGGAAACATTTATAGGAAAAAAATAGAAACATAATTTTCTTTTATAAGATTTATCCCCTAACATTTATCTGGCAACTTCTTGTTTATGTGAGTCATTTCTCAGTTATCTATGTCAAGGGACTGCTTTAACATTATATTTAGTCTACCAAAAGCAGAATGATGAGAGGATACTGTGAGCCACAAATAATATGAAGTATTTTTGTCCTAAACAAGTTAGTCAAATAAAAAGACCTTCAATTACAAACATCTTGAAACATTAACCATGGGTCTGTATTACGTCTTTAAAGACTCAAACTGAGAGAATCCAAGGCCCCTGAGTTCATACACGGCTACATGAAATAAGAGAGGGAGAGCAGGAGAGTGTTTTCAAAGAGAGAGAAAATGCAAGAAAGGAGGAGATTTCTACTTTGTAGTGTAAGTTCACCAGCAGACCTGGCTGAGCCTGTTTTGACACGTTTCTTTTTTCTCTTCTCTCTCCGGTGTTCCCTCAGCGACAACGCCCTGCACATTCCCGCTGCAGAGCTCACCTATCAGCTTCCTGAACACAAACCTGGACTCAGTCAGGAAACCAGCACACTTAATGAAAGCAAGGTGCCATCACCTGCTGGCTGCAGATTTGTACAGATTTGAAACGTAAATTACTTAAATCATTCTTTGATATCTTCATAAATGACTAGATTTAAAGGAGGCGTTGTTTGTGTTAGACAGAGGCAGTTTTCTTACGTCTGGCAGACTGAGCTAAATGCTGACATATAGAGAGATAAAACAAAATCAAAAGTAACAAGGAAGGAAGTGACACATTTCTGACGTCTGAGAAACAGGAACAAGAATCTCAGGTTTTGACTCGTATTTAAAAGGAAATCCCAAAATGGCAAAAGTGATTACTGTAAAGCACCCAAACTACCAAAACCTTAAAAAAAAACAGATTAACACATCAACTAATCCTGGTTACTACAGAAAGGATCTCACCCATAGGTCTCAGCTAAGCCTCTATTGATATTCAGCTCTGGTGTAAACACTTGTGCAGGGCCTCCTCTGTTGTTGTGGCTTGACCTCTGTCTTCAGTAAACTTGTTCCTTATTTCCTTCAATCAAATCACACTTTAACCACATGACAAGTCTCAACTCAAATCTCAGCTTCTTGTAATGCCTGCTGAACAAAAGACCACAAAAAAACAACAACTAAATGCCACAAAGATCAGTTAACGAGAGAAAATCTCAAGCTGTGTCTTATTTCATGAGGAACTTGTTGAACTTGTTCAAAGAGGAAGAATACACATCTAGTCAAACCACGCTGGCCAATGGTGATAGGGTACATAAGTATCAGTGTGATCAGTAACAGTAAGTGTTGGCCAGGATCCTTTGTGTTAAAGGTTACTAGGTCTTTAGATGGACTGATAAAACATGCACTTCGCACTAATCTCCACTCCCAATACTTCTTCAGAATTTCCACATTTTGGAAGCAGGAAATGTTCACACACAAAAATCAAGTTAAGTTCCACAATGATGAATTTGAAAACAACTAATGCGGTCAATCTCAAGTCCAGAACACCGAACAAAAGCAGGGGGAACTACCTCCATAAATATAAAAGGTGTTACGTTTCAAGAAGGAAGGGATTCCCTTCAAAAAGCACTGGGCCTTGTTTCACATTGATTATTTTGTTGACACATTGTGCGCTATTCATGAAACAGAAAGCACACATAACAAGGAAATGTGAAAAGTGTCTTGTTACTCATTGACTCGGCACAATGTTACAAAGAGACCTTTTAACCCAAATGTGTGAGAGTGAAACTGAAGTCATGTGGTAAAGAAGTGTGCAAACTCCCTTATCGACCTTTTTTGATTGACTCAATTCCAAGCTCTGATAATTGGATGTTTGACTGATTAGATATAGAAGATGAAGAATGGACATTATCAGTTCTCTGCCTCTTAATGAAGCTGATGAATGTTTTAGGCCATTTGTTGCATTTTCTCTGACACATAAGTGAGTAAGAAGACACCACACGGATTAGCACATGTAGCATTTAGTGGTTAGCATTGATTACATTTGCTGTTTTTCATTACAGCAGGAAATACAAACCAGAATAAGAAGATATGTATTTCCTGTACTAAGAGAGTAGGTTCTTTCTCTGCACGTCTCCGTTTTTCAACCGCAGTAATCTGCACATCCAAAAAAAAGATTTGAGTTGAGGGAGATCAAAATAAGAATACTTTAAAGCTCCTGTGAGGAGTTTTGAGTTTGTTTGAAAGCGACTGGAATAAGTATTGATGCATTTTTATGACCTGCAATAGCAAACTACACCATCAAGAACTAAATTTATTATTTCTTTATATTTATTTAGAATTATTATTTCCACTCAGGTTAGGTAGGAGTCACATGACTGACTACAGCATGTTGCCGAACATTCTTTTTACCTTGCAAAGATTGGCAGAGAGGTTCATTTGTCTATTGAAAAAAAAGGGAAGATAAGATTTTCTTGTAGACAAAAACAACAACTAAACAAAACCTAACCTTTTTTTTTTAGCTAACTGTTAGCCCGATGAAGGTCCCAAAATGTTGCCAATAAATGTTACCCTTCAGCAAAATGTCATAACCTTTGCATGTTAAATTGCAGTCCTCATTCGGCTCCACTTATTTGTCTTATCCTTCTATACTCTTTCTTGTATCACTTATTCCAAGAATTTTTTTTATTGTGTACACTTGATAATACTAAGAGATGCTAAAAATCCAAAGGAAGTAGCAAACTCCTTTCAAAATTGCATATTTACACAACGAGGACTCCTGAAACAGATGTGTGTGTGTGTGTGTGTGTGTGTGTGTGTGTGTGTGTGTGTTTGTGGCTGACTACACATCACAGTGACCTACCTCAAGCACCGGTCCTGCACCGAGGATGGTTCGTTTCAGCCCGCTGCAGTACGTCTTCTTGCTGAGGGCGGTCAGGCAGTGGATGAGGTAACTACTGCTTTCAGTCTTCCCAGAGCCACTCTCACCAGATATCACAATGCACTGGTTAACCTGCCTCTTCAGCATTGCCCGGAAGGCCACATCTGCTATGGCGAATATATGAGGGCTTAGTTTGCCCAGTGGCTGCTTCTCATACATGTTGACATACTTGGGATTGTAGTAAGTGGGTAGGAACTTATTGGGGTTGAGGGCGATGAGGATTCTGCTGGCATAGGTGTAGATTTTAAGCTTATAGAAGCGCTGGCGTAATGCTTCAAGGATACTCTCCTCAGTCACAGTTTGGAGGTTACAAAGATCATCATATTCCTCTGTGATGCTTTCCACTTGGTCGTCTCCACTGTTAGCTTGCTGCTGCTGCTGCTGCAGGATGAAGTAGTAGCCTTGGGTCTTAAGGTGCCACCTCTGCGTCTCTGGTGGCCACAGCAGGACACGCTCCAAAGGGGAGTCTCCAGCCCGCAGTAACCTCTCCTCTCCATCGATCTCCCTCACCTCCAGCAGGCTGTACTTCTGGCAGGCATCCAGGCCCAGCGTGACCACGGCGTTGTGGATGACTGTCCTTGTCGTGTCCCCACCACTGACCTGCAGGGGACAGTAGGCAGCTGTGTCCTGGGACGGCCTGGGGTAGATCTGCACGACACGGGCCTCTTCGTCCCGCTCAGGGGCCCCGGCTCCATCTGTAGCGCTCATCCTGATATCCTGATGTACAGGCAGGCTTCAGCATAACGCACAGCCCCACCTTTCTGCCAGTCTCCACTGGGGAAAAAACTCATTTCAGAGAACAAAATGTCAATTAAAGCAGCTCAAAATAAAGCCTTCTCAAGTCAAAAGCAGTGGTACTCTTATTTCTAACAGACTCTTTACACCTAAATGTAATATTTCCAGTATTAAAACGCCATTAAAAATGACATGACTATAAAAATGGGAGTTTCTGTTTACCCTGCTTTCCCCAGCAGTATCAACATGAACATACAGAATCCCAATACACAACATGCCAAGTAACAAATGACAAACACTTAACAAGTGTCAAACAGGACAACATGTCAAAGTCTTACCTTTCGAAAACAAACCCTCAGTTCATCCTTAAGAGCCGAAGTATTCCTAAAATTGAGGATAACAGGACAATCTCTTGAGAACTTGGGAGCGTTGACGAATTCCAAATACTGAAAATATGGGCTACAGGAGGTTAAAAAAAAAGTTTCCCTCACCTGTGCTGCCCAAAAAGGTGAGCCCAAAAAAGCTGCTTATTCGCTTTTAAACATGATGAAATAGTAACTTCCCGGCAGTTCGGACACGAAATGAGTGATATAAGTCACAGTTTTCAGAGAATTTGAGGACTGACGTCTCCCGTCGTCCTGGTCGAGAAGTGAGGTTACTTCCTAGATTCCTCCACACACACACACACACACACACACACACACACACACACACACACACACACACACACACACCGACACCGACACACACACACACACCCACCGACACACACAGCCGTTGACGAGGTGAAGATATATGGAAGTCCACCCTACTCTCACCGAAAGGAGGCGGAAAAACAAAGCCAGTATGTGATAAAACTGCCGGAAATAAAGCAGAAGAAGAGACTGTGACAATCTCACATTACGAAGGAGGAGATTTTTTAATAGGGAGCGTTACGAATGAACACTTTAATTGAGCCCAATTGTTACCTGAAGTTCAACTGTTGCAATGGCGCCCCCTGCTGGACAGATGAGGTATCACAAGACATTATTTAATCACATGAAAAAAATAGTCATGGTACTTGTTTTTAACCTGCATTTTAAATGTAACTGGAAAGCAAAGAAGTGTTAACATACAACTATAAATTAAGTAGCCTACCACATGTAAGGTAGGCTTTCATTAAGACTGCCCTTTGAATAATGTGTAGGCCTATAGGTGTATTATATCCTTGGAGTATTAAGTGATGGATTAATGTGTAAATACTTTTAATGTTTCAATGCTATGTTTCTATGATGACCCTGATGAAGGCCACATGCCAAAAACGCGTCGGTCTAATTTGATAATAAAGTTGATCTTCGTGTCTCTGCAGCATTTTGACCTCTTCTAAGCCTTCCACTCTTACTGCACCTATGTTTCAAAACAGCAGAGAAAAGGAGCACATGTACTCAAACAGTGATACATCTTCAGGTGCACGACCGCAAAAAAGACTTCAAGAAAACAGAAAAGTCAGCACACTCAATGTCCTTTAAAATTTATATTAGAGCTGGGTAGAGCAGCGTACAGCATGCTGCGTTTCCCCTTGAATAATAAAAGTATTATCTAATATGAAATACAGGTATTTATCATTCAATTACAGATAAGTAGGGCTAATAATAACATTTAATGCAGGCCTATAATACAGGAAAATCAGCACGCAGGAAACAATGATAGAATAAAAGTCTGAGTTTCTGATTGAATTGAGAAGCAACCGTGTTATAAGAAACAAAAATCAATATGCATTTTTTTTTCTCTCTGGAGGAGCTGTATGAATTTCTGCACATGTTGCATTATTTTATTTTGTTGATAAATGAGTTCACAGAAAGATGACCCAAGGTGAAAAAAGCAACTGTTCACGCAGCACCTCAACAACTGAGGGCATCCAAAATCAATAAAATGTCTTCTGATGATCAGTTTTGCTTATGCTAATGCCGCGCCTGTCCATGCAGGTTTATAATGACTGCAGCGGTGTTGAGCCGGTGTTTCCCAATTTAGAGAAGCAGCTTGCAGACACTCTGACAGCTTATTATAGTGTGAGGAATGAAGAGAGGCATGCGTAAAGTGTTACTCAGCACAAATCAGCTGCTGCTGATAACCACTACCTGCAGAGGCAGCCAGATTCAGCCACACTGGGACACAAATTAGGATACACACATATGATATACACAGAAACGGACACACACACACACACACACACACACACACATCTTTTTTTGTGTCAGAATTGCAAATTCATCATTCCTGTCTAAAAAGCTGCTCATATAGGTGCTGTGATTTACATGTTTTTGGTCATTTCTGACGTGCTCCTTCTAATTATTTCAATGTGGACGATGGGAGGCTTGTTTTATTAGATGTCACTCTTGTTCCTGCTGGACTGAGCCAGTTCTGCAAAGACACACTGAATCCAGTTCAGTAGGCACAGGAGTACACAGCTGGAAAAAGTCCACATTATCACAATCTAAACATTTAACAAGTAACGATTCAAATTTAAACTTTGCAAGGTAAGTTGGCCAATAGTTGACACATGAATAACGTTTTTTTTTTCTGAAACCATGAATATTTTTGGGAGCTCTGCAGCTTTAAGACAAAATTAAGACACTACTACCTAAAACAGATACAAGTATTACTTCCCACAAATCCTCCTGAATAGACCGTCTGTGATCCAAAGTTGCCATTCCGTTTTCTTCTTCTTCTTAGACATAAATCAGGAGAAGCTACATGCTGCACAGTGTCTGGACCTGCAATGACTTTTACAGCATTCCTTCATTACTTTACTGTATAGGTGGCCCTGACAATTTCAATCCCACGCATCTGTCTTCCCTCACCTCTCCACTCGGCGTCAGCCGGGGCTCTCAGGTATGCGGGCGCTCATTCTTTCATGTCAGAAACTGAACTTAGCCACTGTGAACAATTCCTGTTTGGTTCAATGCTCACTAATGAACTAAGTTCTGCATCTTCAGAGAAGTCATTGTTGAGTGGGAAAATGGAAGCGTTCTGTTTTTCATTCTACAAGAAAAACAAAACATCTTTATTTGACTGGTGAAGGTGATGGCATGTTAAATTGAGATCATGGGTGTAATTGATGTTTCGATCATGCTCAGTCCTGTCAAAGTCATCATTTCTGCTGCTGCTCTCATGCTGTGGTTTATGCAAATGAAAACTCCAGATCCAATGTGATGGGAAAAGGTCATTAGGTCTGAAAAAACCCTTAGAGAAAATATGCTGGTAGAAATAGTCTGTTTTAGTCTGATACGAAACCAGCCGTTGAATGTAAAATATGTTCCCACAGAAGACGATTGGTTGGTTGGAGTTACACCACAGTTTAGTACTTTCAAATGCAATAACTGAACAGTTGTTTTGATGACATTTAAGGCATTGCTTACATCACTCCTTAAATCCAGCATCAAGAGTTACACAAGGGCTTAGATAAGATACTAAATTAAAAGTGAAAATACGACTTAAACTAGAAGTTTCTATTTTATTTGTTTAAGTTAAGAAAAGTAAATGTTCTGATTATGTTTAGTGTATCATGTTTACTTACAACATCTGCGTTAGAACCACTGGCTGTGTATAAAGACTGACAACGCATCTCCACCTCCTTATCTTGTACAACAATGAAGCCAAAATCCCACCACTTGAATCCAGAGTCTTCGAGGGATTGGCCGGTGGATCCACTGATGATGACACGTAGCTTACTCGAAACCTAAACACACATCAAACTTAGAGATAAAAGGTCAAAGGTCCCTCAGATGGGTACAGTCCACAGCAGAAGTGATTCTTGTGTCGGTTTGAAGCAGACACTCACAGTTAAAAAAAGGTTCAAAGACTCTTGTGGTCGTGTTTGTCACACTTCTACTCACCGTTTCTCCTCCTTTTTGTTTATTTGTTGCTCACAGCGCAGCAGGAGCCGTATTTGTCAACAGAGCTGTCAATCATGGCATTTTTTACTTTTTTTTATAGCATCAAGTAACTAACTACAAATAAAACATTTTAAAAACAGAGGACTTGAACACAAATCAATGTGACGAGAGCTTGCCATTGTGACAGAAAACAGGTGTGAGAAAAATGTATTTCATGTGTATTTTACATTGAAAGTTTGCTCCATGTGTTATCTGCCAACATCGAGGAGGCGGGGTTTATGACCTATAGTGCAGCTGGTCAGTAGGGGGAGCGCTTGTGCCGTCCATTTTTCTTTTATACAGTCTGTGGTTTGAACATTGCTCGACATCTCTTATTTTATGAAATGTTTATAATATTAAGTCTTTGTTATCTACTTTGAAGAAATAAGTTTGGAAAGTTTTGAGCATAAAAAAAACAGAAAATGTAAAGTTTAAATGCATTCTTTGTTTGCAACTTGTCAGCACTGTTCATACTGTATTCGATACAGGCCTCAGCATTGAGGTTTATATTACTGTATGTAAATGGCGTGATCACACGGTTGTTTTTAAGCTTTAACTGCACATATCAGCTTTCTCTTTTCACACAGTACATTTATTTCTTTCCCTGACTTGCTGTGAAGAGTCCTCTGCCTATTATCATTTGTACTCAGATAGTTTGTCTGAGCCTCGGGACACGTGGGCTCAGTTTTCAAGACAAACTTTTAGTCTGCACGAACCAACGGAGGTTTCATTACATCACTGCTCAGCGGTAAACAACTTTATCTCACGGTCATGCTGCCTTGATCTGGAGCCAAACAGAACAACTATTACACACACAGCCATAGATAGTGTCTTGATATCCTGATATTTACTTTACTTTGGTCATTTGAAATTGGCAAATCATCAGCTGCATAAGTCATAAGATCCCGCCTAGGCTCTTGTTTCCTCCAAGTTACATGTTAAATGTTGAGATTATGGCACTTGTACAAATATTTCTCAAATCTCCTTATAATGTCTTCATTGTTTCAATCCCAAAAAGTAATCTACATAGATCTCTGTCCTCAGAATTACTTGGATTTCACACTCTTGCAGCGGCAAAAGTCCTGTAAACACAACACAAGAGTGAGATAATAGTTTCAAGGGTATCAGTGTCCAAGTGAGGTTACCTGAGCTCTGCTGCCATTATGTCATTTTTCACTCTGCTTCAGGAGAAGAAAAGGCAGCTGCAGCCTTTGTCATCCCACCACCTTCTTCCCTGTGGAGGAGAAGTGTGATGATCCATCTCGGGGAATAACAAAGCCTCCTCTGCTGCTTTTTTTCTTCTTCTGGCATTTCTTTGTTTTAATTCTGTTCTGCCCAGGTAATGATCATTTTCTAGAAAAGGAGAAGTTGTTCAAAGAAAAAGTCGGTGTATAGGTAGAAATAGAAATAAAAAACAGAAAGACTAAACGGCACAGTCTGATACACTCCATACAGGCAATTCTGCAGCGCCGTATTCAACAAAAATAATCCCATATAGAATGCATTTTAATGCGACACAGTACACATCTTGAAATCAGATATCAAAATTCATGCATCTTTTCTTTTAGTACCGGCAAATGTTTGGAATCTCAACTTACCTGCACAAAAAATAGGTGGGATAACAAGACAGAACGAGGCCCCTCAGTGCTGTCAAACCTGAACAATCTTTCCTGGCTTCTGTTGCATGTTCTTAGCAAGACAGCGCTGCTTTCTGCTGCTCAAGCTGCTCAGAGCGAGTTCTGGGTGAGCAAGGAGGGGAGCATGTGTGAAAAGAGAG